CCCCCCGCCCCCGGCCCCCCTGTGCCCCCCCCCCCCCCGGATCTGGCAGTGTGGCCTGAGCGGCTCCCAGCTGCCGTGCCCACCGAGTCTCCCCCCCATGGCCAGATTTAAATATCCTCCATAACTTTTTTTCAACTTTTTAGATTTTTCTGCACACCTGGAGGCTGCTCGAAGTGTGCAGGAAAATCTCCCTGCCCCCCAAGTGCCCCCGATGTGTGGATTTAGATATCCGCACGGAGGGGGTAACTTGGCTATTAGATATATAGATATGATAGCTAAATAAATTTCCTTCCAATTTCTTTGAGATATGCTTTTGAATAACAGCTATGTAGGATAATATTTCAGTATATTAATAACTGAGTATGTGTTTCTGACACACAACCTGAGCTTTAGCAACTTAATAGAACTGATTAAGAGATAGCAGGTTTGTTCAAATCAACAATGGAAATTACTTCATGTATTTATTTGCTGGAAGAAGCATTCCATAGATACAAAAAGAGCAAAATATAGTGACTCCTTCTGCCAGAGCGTCACCATTAGTGGAATGAGTCTTCAGGAGTCAACCTATTGTGCATAACTAATGAAGAACGCCCTTGTTACCCCTAACCAGCTTTGATTTAAAAAGCTGAATAGCTGATTTTAGTTTTTGGGGTAAATTAGTCAAATGATAGGCCTCAGAGAGAGATGGGGTAATAAGCGTGGATCTGCTATCAATGTTTACAAAGATAGTCCCTTAGAACCTTGGTTGAGTCAAAATGGTGTCCACATGGTGAAGAGAAATGGGTTGTATTAGGAGAAGTAATAATTTAGGTATTTACACTCAAATAAAGGATTGCAAATATACAAGAAGAAACAAAAAGAAGTTAGCAGACAAAGGGGTGTGGAGATTGTGGTAATACTATACCTATCCATATGTGCAAGGGTCCATTGCTGGAAAGAGAGGGGATCCAAACTGTGGGGTTTGGGGGTGCATCTCTACTGTAGGCTGCCTCAGAGTGAGACATGGTTGAGGCCACGTGCTTTAGTGGATATAGACATAGGGAAACAATGTGGGCCAGTGGGAGGCCTTGAGGGGCTTGTCTCAGGTGAAGACAAAATATTACTTTGACCAATAAGGGGTTCTAGGGGGTGTGGCACTGGGAGGAGTAAAACCTAGGTGTGACCAATGAAGTCCCAGAGGGGCAGAGTCTGTATTTACACTAGGGTTGCTGAGATTAGCCAGGTGCTGGATGGTTGGGCTGGGAGTGTCCATTGTGGAATAGTAGGGTGGTCTGGTGTTTCTCTGGTGCCAGACAAAGGAGGTGAGGTTGCATAGTGTGTGGCAGGATGAACCTGAATGGCTGACCATTCACTGGACATGAAGAGTTAATGTTTACCTTGATAAGTCTGGCAGAGGTATCAGAATGCAGATATTTTAGACAAATATATGGAAACAGGAATGAGAGGATTATTCTGAAGGTATTTCCTGACATACAAGTGAAACAGGAGTTGGGGGCTGGAACCATGCAATATCCTTTATTCATGATAATAGCACAGACCAGAGGCTCTTTGTCCCTGCCTGCCTGTACATTTGACAGACCAAAGACTGGCCATTTGGTATGCCTGAGGCGAGGGCAGAGACTTGCCCATTCTTGTCCTTATGGACTGAGCTGACAGGAGAGAAGAGTCCGGGGGGGGGGGGCCTGCATAGTGGATGTTCTGACAGTGCAGCTTGAAATGAGGTTCTCTTAGTTTCCCAACAAAAGTCACTGTCTAAGCCAAGCCTGGCCTCATGAGGGCACTGCTTTAGGAGCTTCAGAGGTTGTTTTGGGGTGTCTCTCTTTCTCTGGAAAGACCACCCCAGGTTCAAGGCCCAAGAGGCCAGTTACACCCTTCTGTAGAATATGGTTGAAACGGGTCTTGCTGATCAAATTTTTGTAATTGCTACTTCAATCTGATTTATAGATTGATTTCAAAGAACTTTAATTAGAAACCAAATAGCTGCTAGAATTGTTCTCTTAACTGCTTAAATGAGAATTTTTGTTGCTAATAATAGGCAGGTGGCATAGCAGTTTTTATGCTGCTGCTTGTGCAAGAGTGCAACATTTTACTTATAAAAATGTGTATTTTTAAATTTAATTTCACATTTTTTTCATACAACATTCTATTACAAAGTTTCCATGAGCAGAAGAGACCTTCCACATGGAGAAAGTCACCTTTGGATCAAATGTTGTTTGTTAAGAAAACAGTCTTAAGTGAAATGGGGGACAGATCTGTTATTGGGTATCAAATGAGACTATAGACCTCCTGTATATGAAAGCAGACCTCTAATTAAGAGACAGTGGGTACTAACTGGGATAGCTGTGGTGTGATGGTGGAGAGGGGAACCCTTTGGGTTATAGTTCTGTTAAAATGACAATACGAAATAATAACCTGATCATAAGAATTCTTGTCTACAGCCTAATAGTTCCCAAGGCACAGCAAAAGTGCCCAACAAGTGATGTCTAGACACTGTGTCAAAAAAGGCATTATCTCACCCAAGCAGGTGTCTGTTCCTTTTCCTGGGTTCATTTGCTTTCAGCTTTTAACACCTGCTAGAAGTGCATCGTTAAAGTCAATTATGCTGTTGGCTGATATGAAATCTGCAGATAACAGCTAAGCCCCCCCCCCCGACCATAGCATTTCACTAAAGAATGTCTGCAAATATGAAGAAGAGGAGGAGGACATTGGATTTATACCCCACCCTTCACTCGGGATCTCAGAGTGGCTTACCATCTCCTTTCTCTCCCCTCCCCACAGCAGACACCCTGTGAGGTGGGTGGGGCTGAGAGAGCTCTGAGAGAACTGCTCTTGAAAGAGCAGCTCAGAGAGAATTGTGACTGACCCAAGGTCACCCAGCTGGCTGCATGCAGAGGAGTGGGGAATCAAACACAGTCCTCCCAGATTGGAGTCCATGCTCCTAACCACTATACTAAACTGGCTCTCAAAGTTGGTCTTTCCAAAAGAGCAATTTAATGTATTTATTTAGAAGTTTTTTCATGCTACCTCTCCAGGGAACTTGCCTAAAGTGGCTTACAAAATAAAACAGTTAATAAATAGGGCATGGTTTCCTGTCCTGAAGAACACAAAAGGCTCTACATCTGACAATAGCACTACAGATAAGATCAGAATTTCAACAGCCAATCCACACACAAAAGAACCTCCTCAGGAAAGCTCCTCTATTAGCATGTTCATAGCCTGGGGAACTCCTACAAGATAATGACTCAGCCCTACCCTACCTTCTGGAGTAGATATAAATTACCTGCCTACCATTTTCTTCTCACCTTGACACAGAGAGTACTCCATCTTTCTGTGTTATACCTCTCAGGATGCCAGTCACAGCTACTGGCAAATTGTCAGGTTCTACAATGCCAAGACTACGGCCACACAACCCGGAAAATCTACAGCAACTAATGTTCTGGTAGTGTTATGTTTTTATTAATTAAAACCCAGCATTAAGATCCAAACAACAGCATTAAAAATAGACCATGGAGCAGTTTAAGGTAACAGTTTTTTGTGAGCTATATTGGTGTAAGAAAGAATTCAAGGTGCTGTCCAATGTCAGATTCCTGGCCAGGTCTAAGCTAGAATATTGAACTAGGCGTTGGGAGACCAAAGGAGTATCTCTGTCTGCCATGAAATTCACTGGGAGATCTTGGGCCAGTAATTCTCCCAGCATAATTTATCCAGATGTTTGTGAGGATAAAATGGACTAAAAGAAAAACCCTAAGATCTTTGGAGGAAGGGTGGGATAAAAGTAGGTTTTTTAAAAAAGTATATCTGTGCATCTGAGAAAGTGAGTGTTTCTATTGTTTATTTTTATTTTATGCATTTATTGAAGTTTGCAGGGCCATTTGTGCTACCATGCATATCTGCTTATATTTAGAAGTTTTATTTTACATGTTTATTGTTTGTATATAGCAGCCTGTGTTCCTTAATCGTTTGTTTGTGTATGCAGTTAACAGTACTTTCCTCTGCTCGTTTGAAGTGACAGGTTCCTCCCCTCCCCCTTGCCCCAACTTTCTGCTGTGGAATTTTTTTTAAAATAGATGTAGAGCAGGGCTGGAAGAACCTAGAACTCAAAGAGCTACCTTCTCAGACATTTCTGGAAGGGTGCCTTTGCTTTTGAGGGGAACTGAGACCATATACAGGTGGCTGGTGATACTATAAGAAGCCCTGTTGTAGGGTAGATCAGAGAAGTAAGAGGAGGAACCCAGTGAAATCCTGGGTGAAAAGGAAATATTTGACATTTTGTCACCATTTGCCCCTGCTTCTGTGTTTCAGGAGGGTAGTACAGGGGTTCCCAACCTTTTTGAGCTGTGGGACCCTTTGGAGTTCTGTCACAGGGTAGAGGGTGCAGCCACAAAATGGCTGCCACAGGAGGGGGAAAGAAGGATAATTTTAAAAACACACTGGGAAACAGGAATCAGACAAAGAATAAAACCAGCAATGTGGTGGTAGCTGCCGCGGAAGCCATGTTAATTTAATCTGCACAGCCAGTCAGAAGTGGCCCCCAACCACTGTCTGAAAACACTTGATGAGCACCAGGTAAGGCAGCACATTGGGGACCCTGGGCTGGTAGTTGGAAGCAGAATATTAAAGTAGCTGAGCCAAAATCTAGTGCTCATGAGTAGATGTGTGGTATTCCTCTCAATTAAGGGACTTTTTTATATGTGAGTGTGTATGTGTTTATATTAACAGGTATCCCCCGGAAGCACCAGAACTTCAAATCAGGAAAATGGCAGATTTATGTTTCCTGGTACAACACTATGAACTGGCATATAGTTGCTATCATACAGCAAAGAAAGACTTTTTGAATGATCAAGCAATGCTTTATGCAGCTGGAGCACTGGTTGGTATATCAGCATTATTTTTGAAAGTGAATACAATTGCTGGGGAAGAAGTTAATGATTATTGTAGATTTTTGGAATTTACTGAAACAAAATATGGTGGCCGCTGATGTTGCATGTGTTACATGTAGTTCTATGATTCATTTTGCATACTTTTAGACATCAGTTCTGGGTTTGTGATGTAAGGAGGAAGACCGGAGTGGGCGAGGGGAGAGAAGATCTCCATCCTTTCCCCACAAAACAGCTTCTTGCTGAAAATTGTCTAAAAACACAAATATTCTTCACAAAATTAGTTGATGTAATAGTAATATGTATGTGTATAGCCTGTGTAGCAAAAATAATGTTGCTTGTAACTATTTCGTAGGAAATGGCAGCAGTGTCTGCTTTTCTGCAGCCAGGAGCACCTAGGCCATACCCTGCTCATTACATGGATACTGCCATTCAAACCTACAGGGATATCTGCAAGTAGGTGGTTATTTATGTCCAGTTCTTCCTGACTGAGACTTTGTTTTGACTTTTCATTGCATGGCTGGTAATATATGATCATGCTGTATAGTATCGGCAATACACAGTTTAAACAATTGTTCTAGCTACCTAAGCAAAAGCTAGCATCAAAGTTACTTTTTTGCCTTCCAAACACCAAGTGCAAATATATACTCTAAATTATCATAATTCTTTTTCACAATGAATTATCTGTTGTACCTCTGATCTCCCAAAGAAGAAATGTAGTTACAGTAAAAGCTTTTTTATTTGGCCCTTGATTATTCAGAATGTCCAGTTAACTTGCATCACCCAAAGGGCAAGCTCTTCCCCTTAATCTCTGTGCCCCTGCACCTTTGTGTATGCACGTAGTCCACTCCCTCCTCTGCAACTGGCCAGCTTGGTGCCTGCAGCAGTTGCTGGGCTTCTGACAGGTGGCGCAGACAGCTGACCATTCTTAGGTGCTTCATTCCCACTCTGCTTGCCTTGAACTATTAGGACCCAGTTCTGCTGGAGGGTTCCTGGGCAGCTGAATTGCTTGCATGGGACGGCTCCATGGCTTGGGTAGAGGGGGAAGGGTCCTGCCAGGTGTGAGGCCTGTTGCCATGGCATGCCTAATGAAGGCAGGTTTGGTTTCTGTGTATTCCTCTGGGTAAGGAGTGGAGAAAAGCAATAAGGTTTGGAATATTTAGGGCTGGCATGCTTATATATGGTATGACAAAGATAAAACCCATTCAAATTTTCATAATCATGCAATCGGAGGGGCATTAATAAAGATCTGGAGAAAAAGAAAAGAATAGTTTTATCCTAAAATACCCATCTGGGTATCACCTCTTTGTAAAACCAACTTTGATGTCTGAAAATAAAAAGGCAACCTATGAAATGTATTGAATGAGAACAATGAGTTAAAATCGATTGAGGCACTACGAGCAATGAATATAAACCTTACATGGGTAGTACATGGTGGGAGATTTCACAACTGAAATCAAGATTTACTAAAGACAAAACAATGAACTTTTATAGTTCAAAAACAGATTTAGATAAAATATGGCTATCAACCTCCGATAAGCTGATTCAAAAGTTGTATAATTTTTTACTACATGATGTAATCCAAGATGAAATAGTTAAATCTTCAAAGGTTGTATGGATGCAGGATATAGGATATAGCCTGAACATAGATGACTGGTCAAAAATCTGGAAAGCAGTTAAATTACTAAGATCAACGTCGTATAAAGAAAATATATTTAAAATGTTTTATAGGTGGCACTGGTCACCGGATAGAATGGCCAAATGTTATAAGGAGGTATCAAGAAACTGTTGGAGGTGCAAAAATAACATAGGTACATTCTTCCACATGTGGTGGCGGTGCGAGAAGATTTATAAATTTTGGAAAGATACTAAACAGCTAATATTAGAGATTATGGATATAGATTTATATCTGTTACCAGAAATTTATTTGCTAAATATAATACCAGAAGGGTTTGGGGGTGATGATACATGTATTTTGTCATATATTCTTACCGCAGCCAGAATTCTTGTTGCTAAATGTTGGAAGGCAGAGAAATTTTACCTGCTAGAGAAGGGTTGGTTACTAAAATATCTGAACTTGCAGAAATAGATAAATTGAATATGATACTTTCAGGAAAAGATGGAAAAGCTTTTTTAAAAAAAGATGGTATAGACTTAACAAATGGTTTGGAAAGAATGTTTAACGTAAACTCCAAAAAATTAGTTATGTACTGTATTTTTGTTTTTGCTTTTGTAACATAAAAACCTACAAATAAATTCAATAAAAAAGGAACCTTTGATTAACCAGCAATCCCCATTCCCGGTGAGTGCTGGTTATGAAAGTTTTTACTGTAAATTGTATGCCTTTAGATACATGTATCAAATTTGCTTGTCTACATATAGCAAGACAGCAGCTAAGCTTGTATGTTATCGTGTTCATTAGCTTTCTTCCCAACCACGTCCTCAAACAATGGGACTATTATACAGGAAGTGCTATAGCAATGCCGTTATGTAATTAAGGATGACAAATTCACATACAAATCTTTGTCAGATGCCACTAATGATACATGCAGATGTACATAACTGGGTTTAAATTTCATGCCTTCTAGGAACATGTTGCTGGCTGAGAGGTGTGTGCTGCTTAGTGCTGAAATATTAAAAAGCCAAAGCAAATACTCAGAGGCAGCTGCTCTCCTGATACGTTTAACCACTGAGGTACAGAAGATACTATTAACTGTTCTGTATGGTGAAAAAAAATTGTATTTAACTTTTTAAGAAATTCTTTAAAACAAGCTTCTAGGTAGAAAAGTGGAATACTGTCTGGAAGAAAGGCTTATTGCATCCTTGATAATACCGTAATTCTCAGGATTTTTGTGTCTTAATGCAGAAAGCTATGCATCTTCATGTACTTTCTCACTAGCTGCATTTTAAATATCACATTTGTGTGCCCTGGAAGAAATGTGTCAACCTTAAGTATAATTTTTCAGTAAGATACAGTTATGCATTTCTTGTTTGGGAGAGAGAAAATTTGCATACAGTATGAAGGCAAGCTATTCATAGTATGAGTACTGGGGGAACCAGTTAGATCCTTATGCTGAAGATTTGTCTTCACTGCTTCCCTTTTATTTTAAAATCACCCCAATGTCTCAAGCAGTGTTCCCTCTAAGCTGAGTTAGTGTGAGCTAGCTCACAGTTTTTTAGCCTCCGGCTCACACATTTTTGCCTTAGCTCAGGAAGGATGGCTCCAGAGCAAACTAATTTATGGAGTACCCAAATTGCTCATTCACATCTTTAATGCCAGTAGCTCACAGAGTAGAATTTTTGCTCACAAGACTCGCTTAGAGGGAACATTGGTCTCAAGTAGTAACAAAATATTCAAAAATGAAAAACAAAAATGTATATATAAAGATATTTTTCTGTCTAACAGACTTGAGGTTAAATATAATCAAAATTCTTCAAATAGCCTCGCAGTTGCAATTATTTGCATTGCAATTTTACTTGTGTGAGATTTGTTTATATAGGTCACTGAAATCAGAAGTATCTTGGCCTTACCATATCAGAAGAATTTGACACACATGCAAAAAGTATTACAATTTAATGAGGTTGTATGCTATATTGGAAAGATGTAGATCAGGTGTTCTTGGCATATTTAGAATTTTAGCTCAATATTAGCTTGTGATGTTCAGTCCCTATTATCCCCCCCATCTCTCTTTTTTGTTCTTTAATTGAAATGTCTTGAAGCTTACACTCTTGTTTTTTAATTTTTCTGTGGAAAAATGGCAGCAGAGCGCTTGGATGGGAATGGTGAGTGATAGAAATGTCAGCTTAAATAGCTGGAAGGCTAGGTAGTGCTGAAACTTGTCACTTTTGTGTACATCAACTTACTTTTATATTTTGGTACTGAATACAAATAACCATTTAAGGTAGAAGGTATACTTTGGATTTGTATGACTCTTTACATTGGGCATCCTGGAGAATAAACTTCCTTTACTGAAAAATTGGTAAATGAAGCTCAGAAAGAACATTATTGCCCTTTGTAATGTCTGATCACAGATGGAACAGAAATCTCTTTGGAAGGCTACTTTTTGTCAGTTTTACATTGATTCTACAAGCATTTTCCATAGACAACAGATATAGTATACTTCTTTTGTTAACTCACATTATATCTTGGAGTTCAGAACAGTTCAAATAAAATGATTTCCTTCCCCTTTGTCATTTTTTTTTTGGATGGGTTAACCACTGAAAAGGGCAGACAATAGCAAACCACTTCTGACTGTCTCTTGCCTTGAAAACCCTACTGGGTCACCATAAGTCAGCTGTGACTTGATGCAAAACCCCCCTCATCATTGAAATAATCTCTGTAGTTCTGATTTAGAACCAATACATAGGTTATATATTAGGTTTGGCCATGGTGGTGAGTCCACTGTAAATTCTTATAGCAGAGGCTGGATGCTCTAGCTGGTGAAGGCTCTAGAGAAACTATGTTTTCATGACATCAGTGATTGGGATCCTTCCATAGCTGTGGACTTCAGGGCATTCTCTTATGATATTTTTGGGATTATGGTGATTACTATGCTTCCTTGCTGGTTTATTGGGCCTTTTATCACTCATTGTTTTCAATAGGATTCAGATCTTCGGAGCGCACTGTTGTTGGAACAAGCTGCACATTGCTTTATAAATATGAAAAGTCCTATGGTTAGAAAATTTGCCTTTCATATGATACTGGCTGGCCACCGGTATAGTAAAGCAGGACAGGTATGTTTTGATTGTTCTTGGGTGTGTGTGTGTCAAATTCTGTAATTTTCCATTTGTTCTGGTTGTCTACCTGCTTGAGGTGGGGGGAGCTATTATATAACTGACAGTTCATTCACATAGTATGTTTAATGGAGATGATTTGTGTTTAGATCTTTGCTGTATGTTCTGTGTTACCAGTTTTGTATTTTTATTGCCACTTCATCAGTCTTGCCTTGATAAATTTTTTAATGTAAGTTTTGAATTTTTGATACACTTCAGCAGTTGCATTTATTTTTCCAGGATTTTTCAGTACTTGTACACTGCTCTATGCAGCATGGAAAGCACAGCTTAAATACTCAAACGAATCAATTAGGGAATGGGGGGAAAACCTCCTAAAATGACTTGAGAGCTTGGCCCTGGTTAGTGAAGTGGATCTGGACTAAGCTGTATTGCTGTCTTGAAGAGCCAGCATGTCTGGCAGGGCGGGATACAAATAGAAACAATAAATAAATAAAATAAGAATAAATGAAATTGCGTTCAGTGTTTTACCACAAGGCTAGCCAAATTCAGTAGGTTAACTCTACATCCCAGTCGTAGGATGATCCAGGATGTAATTATTTCAATATTCTATCCACAGGTTAAATTTGACTTTGGATAAAAATTGTTAATCATTGCAGAAGTATAAGAAAGGGAATGTTGTAGCTCTAGAAGACTTGTTTCACTAAAAGTTTTTGTGGGATTGAGCCTATCAGATGCTCTGGTCCACTAAAATTATTCTTCAGTTCATCTGTTAGTGCATAACTTGCCAGAAAACTCTTCCTTTGCTCTTCTGCTAAAAGCTCCCACTGTAATTATACGTTTGCATTTATGCCATATTCTAGTTTTAGCATATTAGAACAAAGCTACATTCCTTGACATAGCAACTAGTTCCTATCATAAACATTTAAAGCAACACTGCACCCCCAGTTTTAAAGTTGTTGAGGTGTTAATTTCTTCTGGCATTCCATTCCCACCCCCACCCCCTGGTCAGTAATTTCAACTACAGTATTTTTCTCTCCATAAGACGCACCTGACCATAAGACACATCTAGTTTTTAGAGGAGGAAAACAGGATGGAGACGCTCTCTGCCAAAGCCCGTCTCAGCCCCGTGTGCAACTCCACCGGGCCAGCCGGCTCGTCCCTGGCCGGCCCGCACATGACGCCTCTGCCCCAGCAGGACTGGGCGAGCAGGCGAGTGTGCTGCACGTGGCTGGCTGGCTAGCGAGGGGGGGCGGCGCTTTCTCCGGGGCCGGAGGGAGGAGCCGCCCTCTAGAGGCGCCTTTCCTCTCGGCAGCCTACTTAAGCGCCGCGCCAGCCGGCCAACCCCGCCAGTCTCTCGCCACTGCCAGCGTTGCCCCGTACCCCAGCTCCTCGGCAGGACTCCCCGCGCGCAGGAGGAAGAACGAGGCGGCGGTAAGGCGAGGCCCTGGCTCCCGGGGCGAAAGCAGAGGCCGGGCTGGGTGTGCGGCTGGAGTGCCCCTGCGCTCCTTTGTTCGGCTTGCCCCTTCCCAGGTTCGGCATCTCTTCGTTGCGGTATTCGTTCCATAAGATGCACACACTTTCCCCCCCCACTTTTTTCTGGGAAAAAGTGTGTCTTATGGAGCGAAAAATACGGTACTTCTTAGAAGCTGGTGGTCTACAGTGAATACAGGAATGAAACAGCAGCATGAAAATCCTATTCCCCAGTCTTCTCCTCCAGGATTCTCTGGCTTCCAAAAGTGATTAGCTGATTTCTTTCCCTTACCTGCCACATTTTTTCAGTTGCTCATCACATTCTATCACTTCTATAGACCTCACCAGACAAGTATTTTTAGATTTTTAAAATCATATTGTGCATACTTGGAAAATCTCCTATGTAGGTAGAGACCTCTTGGGTGGCTCCATTGTGTGGTCTTTGTTATCCATTCAGCCAGCCACTTTACTGGGGCAAGTGATGCTCTGTATTCTTGGTGCTTGAGGGGGGCAACAGTGGGAGGGCTTCTAGTGTCCTGGCCCCACTGCTGGACCTCCTGATGGCACCTGGTATTTTTGGCCACTGTGTGACAGAGTGTTGGACTGGATGGGCCACTGGCCTGATCCAGCATTGGCTTCTGTTATGTTCTTATGACAGTGATATTAACACTTATGATCTTTTTGTATTTTGTGTTGGAATTTTAATCTAAAGCTTTAACTACAGTGACGTGACAGTCTGTGATAGTCTGAATTTATTTTTCAGAAGAAGCATGCTTTGCGATGTTACTGCCAAGCCATGCAAGTTTATAAAGGAAAGGGATGGTCACTTGCAGAGGATCATATAAACTTCACTATTGGCCGCCAGTCTTTTACACTTCGACAACTTGAGAATGCTGTATCGGCTTTCAGGCATATTTTGATCAATGATAGTAAGCAAACTGCTGCTCAGCAAGGGGCCTTCCTCCGGGAATATCTTTACGTTTATAGGGTAAGATGCCAGTTTATCCACTATAGAATTTTAACCTGTGAGCTAACTTTTTAACAAGCATACTGTAGTGAAGTCTTTGAAGCCTTGCCTGCATGTATTTGTATGGATGGATATTAGATTTATACATCGTCTTGTATCCCACCCTGAGCCTGCTTGTGCGGGAAGGTGGGATAGAAGCCCAATAAATTAATAGATTTAATGATGAATTGCCCTACTTTTATGAGTACGACTAGAATGCTATAGCATTGGTTTTAGCATTTGTTGTGAATGCTTATTCAGGCGCAGTACAAAATACTTTGATGTCGCCCTGGTAAGCCTGATCTCGTCAGATCATGGAAGCTAAGCAGGGCCGACCCTGGCAAGTACTTGGGAGACCTCCAAGGAATACCAGGGCTGTGATGCAGAGGCAGGCAATCAAGCCACCTCTTTGAAAATGTCCTAGCCCCACTAAGGGTTGTCAGAAGTCACTGTGACTCCCAGGCTTGCAAGCATGTACACGTACACACGCGTGCGCACACACACACAAATAGTTTGATGTCTGCAGTGGGAAATCCAAATGACACTTCAATAATTACCATGGAGCATAATCTGACAGGAAGCTGTTTTCTGTAAGCATCATCCACTTAAGTAAAATTTGCACAAGAAAACTTCCAGTTGAATTGTGCCCCATGGGTCAAATCTGTCTGTTGTGCTTATGGTACTGAAAACCTGCTATTGGAAATTGGCTGCTGCAAGAAGGGAGAATCACAAAATCTATGTAATGGCGACTGCTGTTCTCCTATCAGAAGCAGAACTGCACCTGACTCTTAGCTGCTTGACTCTCAAGTGCTGAACATTTGCTTAGCTATGGGGACTAATATATTGGGAACAAGAGAGGGAAGATTTTTTTAAGTGTTGTAAGCTACATTGAGGGTTTTATACTTTAAAAAAATGGCTCTCCCATTACCCCTTCCACAGCATGAACAGAAGTTTCCTTCCGCTCATGCCAAGGGGGAATGTTGAGTGTTCTTTGAATTTAAAGAAGACTGCAAATATACTGAAATTCTAATTTTACCCTTCCATTCCAAAAGCTGTAGGATTATAAGTGAACACACCAAAAGCTGTGGTTAGAATAAAAAAATACATTTATATAACATAGGCTTATCAAAGCTGTGTGCAAATGTCTTTATATGTTACTTTGAAATGTCTATAGTGTATACTTCTGCATTTCTTCTTAAAAGAACCTCAGTGGATCATCAGAGTTCCTATAGCTCTGCTCCCTATACTGCATTATCAGTTTTTCATTCATTCAATGCCATTTGCAGTTTTCATTTGCCAAGTATTTGTTCTTAAGCCGTCTTTTCCTTTCTTTGCTCCAGAATGTAAGTCAGCTGTCACCTGATGAACCATTACCACAGCTTCCTTTACCCTATATTAATAGCTCTGCAACGCGAGTTTTCTTCGGACATGACAGACGGCCAGCTGAAGGTTAGCATATATTTGGATTCTTTTTTTAAAAAAAAGATAATCCGTTAATTAAGATAGCATATAATTAGCATAATTCTGTGCTGGTCAAAGTGAATAGAACTGAACTATATCACTCAGAACTTCCTTTTCATCCAAGTAAACTTTTGCAGATCGGAGGCCTTGCTAATGGACATGGCTTAAGGAAAGTAGAGTGTTGCTGGGAACCCCTTGGTTGCTATGGTGAGCATGCTTTAACAACAGTATAGCTCCAACACAGGAAGTGAACAAAAATTTCTCCAAGAAACGATGTCTGGGTTTTTGCTCTACTGTTACTCTATGTGTTTGTGTACTGGTACCTTGTTTATTTTCTGAGCAGAATTGTGCAGAGAAGTGTGGAGCCCCCCCAGCCATATAGCAGCTAAGGTTCAATTGAATGCTGCCTAGCACCAAGGGAGTGCCCTCCCCATGCCCTCCTGGCTGTACAGCTGATAACTGGTTAGCTTAGACAAACTTACTGTGTTCATAGATGTCAAGGAGCTCTCCAAGTTCTTCTGTCCATCTCATGTTATCCCCAAGAAATCTTTTTACTTTTTTGAAATATTTTGGTAAAACTGAGTGTCCTTTTCTGCTGACTTCATAGTGTGTGAGGGAAATGAAGTTTATTAAATTAGACTTGATTAGTATAGACTGATAAGGTCCTAATTGGGCATGCTGATCCCCTTAGAATCCTGTGCATACTTACCAGAAAGTAAGACCTGTTGAATATAGTGGGTTTTTCTTCTCAGTAAATACATTTAGGCTCTTTGTGATTGGACTAGAAGCAATCAGCACAAGAATTGGCTGCATTTCCTGTGTGATATGAAGATGTCAGTCCATCTGTTAACTTGCAAAAAGCTTTAGGATTGTATGTATTTGGAAGCATCGTTAGGCACCAGCAGTTTTTAATCCTGTTGGCTACTCTTGATTTTGCAAAACGTGGGCACAACCAGCACTTCCGATTGTGAACTTTTTGCCTTTAGCACTCAGCATCTGGTTTTTATTATGTACCATCCTGTACTTCATTGAAAGGATGCAAATATTTGAGTATATTTTCTCTTTCTGCACTATTGTTCTATTCCTGTTCATCAGTTATCAGAGGTACCTTTCCTATCAATTTTTGCTATTATATCTGTACCTCTTATTCACCAAGGCTCATTGCTAACTTTGCAAGCAGAATACTTAAAAACTTAGGTGTTCTGCAAGCTCGGAAACTGGATGTGTTTTATTCTTTCTGAAGATCTTCCATTTTCCCTGGTGCATTCCATAAATGTTTTTATTGAATGCATGTGGATGTTTGAGTGTGGATGTGCAAATGCTTCTGTTAAGGCAAAAAATTAAAGACACAAGGATGCAATTCTGGGAAGCCCAAAGTATATCTGTGTGTGTGTGTGTGTGTGTGTGTAAAGTGAAATGTGGTGATGTTGGTGTAGATGCAGATGCATCATGTTTTAATTTAAATTATTATCAGTTTTAACATCATGTTTTTATTTAAATTATTATCAGTTTTAATTTAGACATGAAATAAGCAAGGATGTAGAAACTGAACCTGTTTCTGTTTGGCATTCTGTATGTAAGTGATTTTGTCTTTTTATATATTCATGACTAGGTGAAAAACAGGCAGCAACGCACATAAGCCTTGACCAAGAATATGATTCTGAATATTCACAACAATGGAAAGAGCTTGAAGAGCAAGTTGTGGCTATCGCTAACAAAAGCGTTGTACCGTCAAATTTTCAGCCAACACAGTATTGTCTGAACAAATACTCAGATAATTCTAGGTTTCCACTTGGTGTAGTTGAAGGTAAAATTTGAATACACATTTGGAAGAGCAGTCCGTAGTATAAACTTGACTTTGCTGAAATAAAGTTGCTGTATGGAATATAACTGCAGTTATAAAGTTCAGTTATGAATTACTTGACTTTTTCCTCACATCTTGTAAAAATGATCTGCCTATAAGTATATAATGACTTTTCTTTGCCATAGAACCAATTACTGTGGAAGTAGCTTTTAGAAATCCACTGAAAGTTCCACTTCTGTTAACTGACTTATCACTGCTTTGGAAATTCCAACCAAAGGATTTCAGTTCAAACAATAATGGAGAAACAAAGGAACTAGTAAGTAATTAAAATATCCTATAGCAATATTTTGTACAGTGTCAATGATAAATATTACTTTGTTTTTACTGTTGAACAATCAATCAGTATATGCCTTCATAATTTGATTTCCTTCATTCTTGTTAGAATGTGCATACCTTCCAGCTATATCCAGGCTTCTTTTTCTAGGGATGACTAGCTTTAAAATAAAGTGTAGTGTTCTGAAGGATACTGCTAGCAGCAGTTTAGCATTGACAAACAGTGGTGTATTTAATGGAAATGTTTTTCAGGGTTTTTTTTCTTTTTAGATAACAAGTGGAAAAGATATGATTGGAGCTGAAGTAATATCAGAATTTTTGATTAACAGTGAAGAAACAAAAATGGTAGGTAACAACATGAAATGGCAACAACATGAAATGGCCAAATGCAAACTGTGAAAGTTAGATTTCAGTGCTTAATTTAATATAGTTTAGTACTTATTTTGTTAGCAATAGTATTTTTGCAGCGAAGGTGGGGTTTACTCTGTTAATTCAGTTGTTTTTTCTGCACTTAGGTAACCTTTTATTCTATCACCACGTGTCAGTACAGATTTAGCGTGTAGCCATGGTTTAATTAATTAATTAATTAATTAATTAATTAAACTAAAGTTAACTGTCTGAATGTGGGCCACTACAGGAATTATGACTAGGTCTGATAAACCAGGAGCTGAAACCAGGATATGAAGTTAGTCTTTATAATGATTTTGTATTACGAACAAACACACCATCCTGTCTTATTCCTGACTTGTTTGCTGTGAATGCTGTATGCCCATGCCACCTACAAAGTCTCTTGACAGGAGCAGCTCAGAAATGACACTGAATCTGCCTTCAGCTGTCTCTCTTTAGTGGGCTGCTTTCCCTGCCCTCAGTTTTTCATCTGCCTGGCAATAGACTCCTCTCTACTTCCACTCTCTTAAAGACTTTGTAGTGCAGCACACTCCTTCCATTTATAATGTGTGGAAAAAGCACTGCCAGTAGAACACTAGCTATCTTAGTAGCCTGCAGTGTGTGAAGGCATTACCCTCTGTTGGCCATCATGAAGCAGCCTGGGATATCAGCTGGGTCTTTGCTTATGGAGGTGAGGAAAAGATCTATAGTACTGTGATTAAAAATTAGTGAGACAAGCCAGGATTCACTGAGCATCTGTGGGCTCACTCCTGGTTTCACAAACTAGCCATAGTTGAAATAAGCTTTGGATGTTGTTTTGTTTTTACAAAAGTTTTACAAAAGTGAATATTTCATGCTTATCACAAAACAAAAATAAAAACCTTAACTCTTTAATGTTATAATTCCTTGTCATTACAAACATTGACCATTTCTTGATAAGTTTATCTGATTTCAGTTAACATCTTTGTCAAGACATTTACATTGTTATGTTGAGTTAGATAAATTATGGTTTCCAAATTTTGAAAATCCAGTCATTTACTGTAGGTGCTTCTTAAGATTTCTGGTAGGAAGTGATACATTATTGTACTGCTGTTAAAATAACCAGTACTTCCCTGTATGTGGCCAAGACACATGCTTTTAGATAGCAAAGCAGCATAACTGTGGTTTAATGTGTCTGAACCAACCCTGTGTACTGAATATTGCCACTAATTTTTTAAGAACCCTTGTAGAAATCATACATTTATCAAAATAGATGTAATTTCAGGGATGAGCTTTTAAAACAGTAAATGTAGCTGTTTGCTTTAGTATGACTAAAATGGCACGTAAATGTAAAATAAGTGATCTGTATACTAGCAACAACAAAATTTAACGTATCTCCACAGGCAAGACTAAAGCTCTTTCCCCATCAAACAGGGGAGCTACACATTCTGGGAGTCGTTTACAATCTTGGCACTATTCAGGGTACTACAGTGCTAGATGGAATAGACACTTCGGTGGGATTGCAAGCAGGTAAGGCTGTGGTATGTACCACAACATGCACTGCAAAGGGCAAGATACTGATACCTAAACTGTTGAATGTATTATATTTATTTTTATTTTATTAAAATTTCCTCTTGGTTCAACATCTTACAATAATAATTAAAACATCGGCAGCTAAAACCAAAAATAAAATAATAAGCCCCCAATCCCCCCATCTTAAAAGACGCCTGCTGTTCCCACCCCCTCAGATGCCTTAACAAACTAGCAGAGCTTGCAGTGTCTCTTGAAGATCACTAAGGAGGGGGCCCCTTTCACATCTTCAGGGAGCCCATTCTACAGAACCAGAACCATGATGGAAAAGGCACAGTTCTCTAGTTAGTGCCAGACGGACCACCCTGAGTGGTGGGGGAGCGAGCTATCAGTTGGTGCTTTAAATATGTGGGTCCTAGGTCACAAAGGGGTTTAAAGGTCATAACCAGCATTGAACTTGAAAATAAACTGGTAGCCAATGAAGCTGTTTCAAAATGGGAAACATATGTTATTGACGACTAGCCCCTGACAGCATTTTGGCTGCTGCATTCTGGACCAGCTGTAGATTCTGGGTTGTCTTCAAGGGCAGCCCCACATAGAGCATGTTACAGTAATCCCACTGTGAGGTTACAGAAGCATAGATCATTGTGGCCAGATTATCTGAGTCTGGGTAATGTGAAAATTAGTGAATCAGATGCAGCTTTACAAGGTGCTCCTAGCCACCATGCCGACCTGGTTTTCAAACAGCAAGGCAGGGTCCATGAGCCACCCATGAACTCTTAATCTGCTCCGAAAAAGCCATCTCCACTCCATCTAGGGCAAGTGGATTCAGACCCTCTAGAATATCAGCCTTCCCAACCAGCATTGACTTGTCTGCATTCAGCCTCAGTTTGTTCTGCCTTAGCCACCTGACTACAGTCTCAAAACGCTGGTTCAGCACCAAGATGGGCACATCTGAAGGCTTGGAAAATGAAATATAGAGCTGGGTGTTATCTGCGTGTTGGTGGCACCCAACCCCAAAGCTCCAGACAGTCTCACTCAGAAGTCTCATATATATATTTTAAATAACATGGGTGAGATAATAGAACCCTGTGGCAGCCCACAAAGTAAATTCCACCCAGTTGATTCTGCACCTCCATCGGAGACTCTTTGTGTCCAGTCAGACAGAAAAGAGTGAAACTACCAACTTCATATTCAAGCTAATGGGTAAGAATGGAGCAGTCAAATGTATCAAAGGCAACTAAGAGAGCCAATAGTATCAACAAGGAAGATTGTCCCCTGTCCAACTTTAAACAAAGATTGTCTACCAGTACAACTAAAGTTGTCTCAGTACCAAATCCAGGCCTGAAGCCAGACTGGATGGGTCAAGGGCAGATGTGTCATTCAGGCAACCCTGGAGCTGCTTGGCCACCACACACTCTATCACCTTCCCTAGAAAAGGTAAATTGGAGACTGGCCTGTAAGTGGCCACCTCATCACTAGCTAATCAAGGTTTTTTGAGCAGAGGTCTAATAATTGCCTTCTTCAAAGGCCTAGGGAGTGCCCCTCAATCAGGGAGGAGTTGATAATTTTCACTAACGGTTCCAATACCTCTTCCCAGCAAGATTTTAAAAGCCATGATGGGTGTGGGTCCAGAGCACCAAGGTGTCCTGCAAACTTCCAAGGAAACATCACAGCTGGGGATAAAATTTTCATTGGCCACAAGGTAGGACTTGGGTATTATCAAGTCACACACTACTTTGAACACTTGAGCTGGACAGGAGTCTGCTGATGCAATGGTGGCATAAAGAAAGTCTTCTTTGCTGACATCACTGCCACCTCATAGGCCTGTAAATGGGCTTTATGATGTGCTCTGTCTGATTTATAATGAGTCTTCTGCCACTGTCACTCTAGTCATCTTCCAGTTTGCTTCATGTCACATGGCTCCCTGGTAAACCAAGGAGCTGAATGTCATGGGTGCTGAGAACGGGGCGTTGCCAGCTCCAGCTGAACCCACAGCTGGCCCCTCTGAAGCTGCAGAGATCAGCAATCTACCATCACAGCCTGCACTGGCACCTGGCTCAGAGACGGCTGACGAGCAGCAGACACAGATAGACAGCCCTCCTGATTCGCCCCCAAGGGTTGCTCGCTTGCGAGACGGACTCCGCCATGACTTAACAGAGAGATGAGAAGCAGGCGAGCTGTCAGTCCTGAGTTTTAACAGATGCTGGGCTGCCAGTGCCACTGCACTAATTGGAAACAGCAGCAGAGGGCTATTTAGCTTCAAGCTGAGCCGGCTTTGTTTGTGGACGCAAACTCGTCATTACTTGGTGTCGGCTTGCTGCTCTCCACCCCCCTGGTTTCAAGACCTTGTTCCTGCTACCTGCTTCTGGACTCTGACCCTGGCCTGATTGACTCTGCTCCTGGTTTGTGATTTGGACTGTTGCTCTCGGCTCCTGCTAGCTTCTCCGGCTTCTGACCCTGGCTTTAAATGACCTTACTTCTGGCTTGCACTCTGAACTTTCACTCTCGGTTCCTGCTTCACCCCTTCGGCTCCAGACCCCAAACTGAACTTAGACTTCCCTCTGCATGCACTCCAGACCTTGACACTGAAGGCCTCACAGACCGTGGAAGAGGACACCAAGGAGCAACTCGGTTTATGGTCCCAATGAGCCCATCATTCTGTGCAGCTACAAGGGCCTCCACAAAGACGCTGAGGAGACTCTCAAAATCCCCTAGAGCCTCCTGGAAGCCAGCAGATCCATTAATCTCTGAGGATGGACCATTTGAATCAATCCATCTTCCATGCAGGGAGGAGCAACAGCTGCCTGTGGGACAAAAAAGAGGGCCATAAATGTCAAATCCAGGCATGCTGAATGTGGCCTATCGTGCCACATTTCTTGCTGTTTGATGCATACTTCTAATGGGAATGTACATCATTCTGAGGGTGACACTGTGAGCTGCATCACATATATCTAATTCTGACTATGGCTCCAAAATACCTGTAAAAATTTGTATGATGAGGCCCATCTACAGATAGGAGGATTTTTTGACAAAAGTGTGGAAAGCACCAGGTTTTTTTGGAAACTGGGTGTTCAGATTACCCCCCCCCCCCGAAAGAGAGATACAGTCTCTGCAAGTGCTGACATCGCAACTCATATTCTGAATAGGCAATAGCAACCCAGCTGGAGCTGGTTGGTGATGGAGAGAGAGGGAAGCTTGCAGCGCAAAGCACATCTGTCTATTTTATGCGCCAAGGACACACACACAGACCGCCACTCAGCATCCAACTGGTGGAGGGGGATTGAGGGGGAAAGTGCTGTCAGCCAGCTTTCTGCTCCAAGCTCCAGCCCCCATCGTGTGGCTGTCAGTGAAGTGTATCATAGCAGAATTTGCAGGAGAGAGAGGAATGAGATGGCCTCTTCTCTGTTTGTTTGTAAAATGCATATTTTAAAAAATCTGCACAGTGGGGCCAGGTATCTAAAGGAGAACGTTTCCTACACACCAGGGGAAACCCCTTCAGCTTTGCACACCACTCCTGCAAAGATCCATTTTATAAAAAACCTTGCAAAATAAAAGTGATGTCTGCTCTTCCACAGACATCACTACTGAGATTAACAAACAAAATGCTGCATGATCAGCATTGTGGGGTTGCCTAACAATCCCATAAGGACAAGTAAAGGCAAAGGGAGAAAGTGCAGGCAAGAAGAGGTAGACGAGGCAACAGGATTTTGGAAGAGGGGGCCATGTAGCTGTGGGGGAGGGAAGGGTCAGAGATAGTGATGGAGGCACGATGGGAGTGTAGAATAAAGCCTTTCATGGTGTTGGGACTCATGAACCACTTCTCCATTCTTTTTGCAAAACTCCCATTGGAAAAACAAGGAGAACTCATCTATAGGGAGGTAAAAACATTCACATTAGAATATTTTCAGGGATGGCCTTCATTTGGTGGAATGAATTCCTGGATAATGTTACAGGTGTCCCCTTGCTGCTGCTCTTCTGGGGCTTGTAAAGTGGAATTATTTAAGAAAACTTTTTCTGTTTGGTTTTGTGGAGGTCATTGATTGTAGTATGGAGTTATATTTATTTCAGTGTTTTTAGTGATGGTGTTATAAGAACATAAGAACATAAGAACATAAGAGACGCCAATGTTGGATCAGGCCAAAGGCCCATCCAGTCCAACACTCTGTGTCACACAGTGGCCAGAAATACCAGTGCCATCAGGAGGTCCAGCAGTGGGGCCAGGACATTAGAAGCCCTCCCACTGTTGACCCCCCCAAGCACCAAGAAGACAGAGCATCACTTGCCCCAGAGCCCCTAGCTTAGTTTGTAACCTGTCATGAGTCCTTCAGGAGAAAGGCAGGCTAGAAGTAAATAAAAACATCCTCAGATCACATCGAACTATATCATATTAGGATATGTGGTCCAGTCTCAACTTCCATATTACATACCACAAACTAAAAGAAAAGAAGTTGAAACTTTAAGTCTAGCAATTAGGCCCATGCTCTTATTAGCCCTTTTGTTCAGAGAATGATATTAAACAGGCATTATAAATAGCAGCAACATAATTTCATAAACTTTATAAAACCAGTTTTGTAAGTTTGGATCATTATTTTCATACTTCAGGTATCAATTGTACCATACCCATTATAATCTTAATGGCATCTTTAAAAAAATGAGATAAGAGAAGCTGCTTATTTGTTGAACTTCAGGATCCTATGTGTTTGTTTTGTTTTCAGGAAAATATATTCCTAATGGAACATCAGTTCGAGGCCGACAAGATTTGGAAATCCAAGGCCCTCGCCTAAATAACACAAAGGAAGAGAAAACATCTATTAAATATGGACCAGATCGCCGTTTAGATCCCATTATTACTGAGGAAATGCCTTTACTAGAGGTAAAACTGATAATTAACAGTGGTGTTAAAGATGGAACAGCCGCTTTTGAAATATATTAATGTTTCTTCTACTTTAACGTTTCTAGCTTTTCTTGCATTTCCAGTGCCTCAGTTTAAATTTGCTAGATTCTACTTGAGCAAAAAATAGTAGAATTTAATCCCTGTATTAATGAAATACGTCTTGTTTGTAAATTAGCATAGGATGCACTTTCCCGCCACCCCAAATATACTATTAAATATACTACTGAAATTGTATTTTTGCTAACTAAGTTTGGCTGAAAAGAATGTCTAAAACCAAGGGGAAAAGTCTTCTGTCATTCTAGTTTCCTCTAATTTTATGGGCTCCTATTTTTCACTGTCACCATCTACTTTATGTTATTAAAATGGCAATTACATATAAAAAACTAAAAGCCATATTTATTTGAACCTTGTTGAGTTCTTTTATTGCTAAATATGGACAAATTAAGTGTGACTGTACTGCTTTTTTCAACTTTCACAGATTGTTATAACATATTAATATTTTTCTGTTCCAATGCAGGTATTTTTTATTAACTTTCCAACTGGGCTCCTTTGTGGAGAAATCCGAAAGACTTATGTAGAGTTTATGAATGTAAGCAAGTGCCCTCTGACTAGACTGAAAGTTGTCTCTAAACGACCAGAGTGTTTTACCTTTGGTGGCAGCAGTAGCATTTTAACTCCATTAAGTCCATCAACATCCGAACATTGCAGCGCTTACAAGACTGTTCTGAAACATTCTACCTCTGTATGTTCACTGATGTCTTCAGCTTCTTCTGTAGACTTTGGGGCTGGAACAGGAAATCAAACGGAAGTGATAGATGTTCCACTTCCTGACTCCGTTCTCCTCCCTGGAGCTTCAGTACAGCTACCTATGTGGATACGTGGGCCAGACGAAGAAGGCGTTCACGAAATACATTTTTTATTTTACTATGAAAGTATTAAAAAACACACAAAAATGTGGTAAGATTTTTTTAAGCTAGATTTTGTATTTTTATGGGTTAATGCCAACAGATTTGTAAACAGAAAGAGCATGTGAAAGAGGAAACCTTTGTGAAGATAGGAGTGTTTACCATCAGGCAGTTCAGTGGTGAGGGGACATTGGGCTAAATTGCCATTGCTTGCTCTTGTACAAATTACAGAATTGAGCATATGCGGTAGGATGATGGTTGTCTCTGAATGCTTTTCTATGTATTTATAATGGTCAGATAGCCAGCAGAAGTTGTTGTATAGGAGCATGCACTGATGCACAATTGTGAGGGGAAGGACTACACATTATTAGGTTTATGTTTGTAGGAGTTTATGTGCTGGTAACTACACAATGCAGCAAACATATAGAGCCAGCCGGCACAAGCTCTGAGTGATCCTGAAGCCCCACCTTACACTGAGTTTACTCAAGTTTGTATATTTTGTGAATACACTTTGAGTTGATAAATTTAGGCATATTTTAATAGTCTGAAATGCTGTTTATATCATGTGCTGTTATTTGTCCAGAGATGGAGCTGTATTTTTTTTTTAAATGCATTCTGTGTAAGCATCTTGGGCAAAAGCTATAACTTCTTGTATTTTATATTAATAATTTCTTATTTGTTTCATGTCTTTACGGACTATGATGAGGCCTAATGCATAAATGAGTTAATGGAGTAATTCATTTTAATATTGGTATCTTAATTGTTAGTGACCACATTTTTGTTTTTACAAATGAAATCATTTGTATGATACTACTGCTGAATTGTACATGAAGGGGAGTTAAATTATTTTCTCTTTCTAGTCACAGAGTATTAAGACACACAGCAGTTATTTGTACCAGCCGATCACTGACTGTACGGGCTACTGCATATCGAAGTAATGCTCTTGAGGATGAAAAAGGTGAAGGTGACAATATGCTAGTGTTTGTGGATGTGGAAAATATCAATACTGTAAGTCTGCTCAGAACTGGGGTAACATTGTAGTTTTGGGGTTTTTTTAAATCAGAGTTTCTGGTCATTACAACAAATGCCTGCATGATTTTTAGAATTATATATAGAACTAACTTTGAAATCACTTGAGCTAAATTTGTATACAAGGAAAATTAAATTCCATTTTTTGATAGCTCAGTGTAAACTAGCTCCAGTATAATTCTTGGCCCCAGCCTCCTCTACTTTTACTTGTGCTACAATGATGTATGAGATAAAATAACATTTAGGTACAAATCAGGCGTTATCTGTAGCACTTGATTGCCACAGGGACTTACAGCTAGGTGTCACCTGCAAGTTCCCCATAGGAATTTAATTCTGCAGTGTCACAGGGGCCTGATTCAGTTGGGGATCTCCGTTTTCAGCAGCGTGCTCCACGCAAGGAGGGGGTGAACATGCACTGAATAGTTGCACATGCAGCTCCACCATGGCACCATTTTGGATCAGAAAAAAGTACAAAGTGAAAGCTGAAGCCTCTGCTCCTCCGCAAAATGGTTCCAGTCCTAATCTGGTCCACACAGATTTTTCTGCAAGACCCTATGGTGATCACATGTTATACATCAGAATCATAGATTTCTCAACATGGCCCATCTATGGATACTTAATTCCAGAGATCAGAGCCATGAATAGAAAATAGATATTTCTACAAACCTGAGAAAAGATCCAGGTTTGCAAAAAATTCTGAAATCTTAAAAATAAATAATAAAATTGGGAGTTAATCCCCCTCAAATGAAGCACCTCTGCCTTTAAGAAATAAATGCCCTCTGAGATCTTCGTAGCCATTGTAGTGGTTTTGCTAGGTTGCCACAACAATATTGCCCACCCCAAAACCTTGGTAGACTGGAAGGCCCTGGAAAGTCTACCTCTGCTCTCCTCCTTCCTGACCTTGATAGGAATGCTACCATTCAATTTGTGCAACTCATCCAGTTGTGCCTGTGGCAGCCTCCACACAACTTGCATGACTTGGTCAGACCTGGTAGGGGCCATCTGAGTGATTCATTACCTCCCAGATTTTGCAAGTTGGCTGGACTTTTCCTAGGGAGAGACTGCCAGAGGGAGGCAAAGAGGAAAAGCTGAGAGCAAGTGCGGTGGTTAGAGGGTCATACTAGGATCTGGAAGACCCAGGATCAAAGCCCTACTTTGCCATGGAAGCTTGCTGAGTGAACTTGAGACCAATCACACTCTCAGCTTTATATACCTCACAGGGGGTTGTTATGAAGATAAAATGGAAGAAAGGAGAATAATGTAAGCTGTTTTGGGTCCCCTTGTGGAGAAAAGCGGGGGTATAAATGAAGTAAATAAAGATGAAGACTTGGGGGGGGTAAATAAAAGAAAAGTTGGTTGCTAAGTGGAAAGGAGAAAATATATGGTAAATGCTTTGTTATCTAGCATTCATGGAGAACAGACTTTATTGGTGAACCAGATGTGCTGGATAATAAAGCTTGTTGCTCTGGTCAGCCAATCAGAGGAATTTGCAGTGACCATACTGCACCCCATTAAGAATGTTGTGACAGCCTCCATGCCTGGTGGGACTCTGCCTCATTAGCTATTGAGCTATTGGAGGCCATCCTGCTCAACATGCAGACAGCTGCCTGGGAGCCTGCAAGCAGAACTGGCTCAAAGCAGGCCGAGGGGGGAGTACTTTGAGAATGATGTTGGGTGCCAGCTGGCAAAAGGCCAGCAATAGCCAGAGGCATCAAACTGGCCAGCTACGGAGGTAGGATTGAGGAGTGTATGTGCCTTAAATCACAGGAGTATAGTGGCTGATGGGGAAGGGTGTCCTCTGGGCAATCCCAGTTAACTAAGCATTTTGAATAATCAAATGCTGGATAATAAAGCTTTTACTATAGTTAAAAACCTGGACATTGAAGTATTTCAAATGTACAGTGACTACTTTTATTGCATGGTGAGTGAATGCTGAGATCTGGAAGACATTTCCAGATCTTAAAAAGCTCAGGTCCAAAGTTGTTGCTTCTAACAAGGCATTTATGTATTGAGTAAAAGCATCTATACTAAACTAGGACCATAGCACACCCTAATAAAGGTATTACTTCTTGCTTTTGATTTGACTGTTTTGTGCTGCTTTAACCTTCTTTAAAAGGACAGAAATAATAGCTATCAAGTATTTTTTATCCTAAGAAGAATTGCCTAGCTTGTATGATGAAAACCTGGCCCTTGAAACCAGTCACTTACTTCTTTCTCTCTTCTTGGGGCTTGCTTAGAGTGAAGCTGGTGTAAAAGAATTTCACATAGTACAAGTGTCTAGTAACAGTAAAAACTGGAAGCTGCAGGAATCCATAAATCTCTCTGAAGACAAAGGTTTGTGAATTTTCCAGATACAGCAATTCAAATTCTGTTTATACAGATGTTAAATAATAACATGAACATGTTTTTCCCTGGGAATATATGGCTTAGTTTCTCTTTTTTTTGGTAATAAATGACAGCTAATATTTTTCAACATAGTTTTTTTTGTGTTCAGTGAGCATAAACTGCCTTTTTCATTATTATTTTTTTAGATTAGCATCAGTAAATTCTTCTAACACGGGGTGCCCATAGGCACTATATTTTTTTAGAAAGTGGGTGGGGCCAGGTGGAGCTCCTGCCCAGCAGGGCTTCTCAGTAGCCATTGGAGATCTGATTGGCTGTGCAGGTTAAATAATGTTTTGGTGGCATCTGTCACTAAAGTGTTGGTTTTATTCTGTCTTCACTCTTCTTTCCCATTGTATTTTTTAAAAACTTACTCCTCTTGTACCCTGCATTTATGCATCCTTTGTATGTGTTAGTGTGTGACCCCACCTCTTGTGGTGGACATTTTGTGGTGGATTCCACCTCCTGTAGCAGCCATTTTGTGGTTGTACCCTCCGCCCTGTGTCAAAACTCCAAAAGTGTCCACCAGCTCAAAGAGGTTGGGGGACCCCTGTTCTAATAAATTAAAACAAATGGGAACAAAGTTGCATCATATTATTTTGCAGTTTTTAAATTATTTCTTTTTTTCAAAAACAGCAGAAAAGGGAAAAAACCCCTCAAAATTCAATTATTAATAAAAAAGAATATATATAATAGAAACACAAATATAACAGCAGTGATGGCATGTCTACACATAAGTTTCTACAAAAGGTTTCAAAATATTTAAAATAAGTCCAAACACATTTGTCATCTATATACCATGCAGTCAAATGTTGATAAAGTTGTAAGGTCCTTAATCCGTTGATGACATCTCTTTAATGCTGTAATATGAGTCTTTGCCTGTAGGAAGGGCAGAGAGGGTCTTGTTTTCATTGGCTGTCATCAGCCTCTTAAGAGATGAGCAGATAGAAGTACATAAGAATCCTCAAAAATGAATGAACTTTCTAATACAATATTGATATGAGTGATAACTTCCACACAGCCAGAGCATTTAAGGGATGTGTTCTGTGAGCTGCAGCACCAACAGTTAGACACTTTACTGAGTCCTTTGCTAAAGAGTCACTGTGGTGTCCAGTGTATCCTAAACATGTTGTTGTGGGTTTTTCTTTTTGCTGTTTGTTGCAACTGAAGATTCATAGAGAGAGCAGGTATAAATTTTAAGGTCATATTCGATTGCTTTGACAAAACAGGGTGCTCTAGCACCTTACTCCATTTTTGAGACTTTGCATATTGTATTTATTAATCAATATCAAATACCTATAAACAAATATAGTAGGTTTTGTTGTCTGCATTGATTCAATTAGAGTTTTCAAGAATGGAGGGGACTCCAAGTCATTTAATGCTGCAAGGCCATATTAGATATCATTAGCTGTTGCAATGAAAATACTTCCATTCAGCAGAAGTTGACAAGTCATACCTAGACTTCAGCTGAGAAGATGACAAAAGCTCATCATTGTAGTCTGTAACTGGTTGACAAATTGTACCCAAAGAGTGCTTGTTAATGGTTTCTCATCCTTTGGGAGAGGAGTGACAAGTGGAGTGACTCAGGGATCTGTCCTGGGACTTGTTTTGTTCAACATCTTTGTAACTAATTTGGATGAAGGAATAGAAGGAATGCTTATTAAATTTGCTGATGATACTAAATTGGGAGAGGTAAGAAATATGGTAGAAGAGAAAGTCAGGATACAGGATGATCTTGACAGGCTGGAAACTGGGCTAAAATAAAATGAATTTCAGTGGGGATAAATGTAAAGTTCTGCATTTAAGTAGGAAAAATCAAATGCCTAATTATAAGATGGGGAAGACTTGTCTTGGAAGTAGTATGTGCAAAGATAAATTTACAGTATATTTTGTCAAAAAGCTTTCTCAGCATCAGGTGAGAGAATAAGAACTTGTTTAAGATATTTTACCACTTAAAACAATCAGATCAGTAAGTTATTTAATGGCACAGCAAACCTCAGGCTGTATATTTTGCCTGCCTTAAGAAGTTGGAAAATAATGGGTTGGTGGTAGGAACCATGTATATATTTATGACATATATTTTAAAATTTCTTCTATCAGATATTAAGCTGGCTAACAGAGAGAAAGGAAAGCTGTGCTTGAAAGCTGTAAGATGCAAAAATTTATTAGGTATGTGTTTTACTTTTTTGGGGGGGGAAATCTACAATTAAGTATTGACTTCATTTTAAGGGACTGACACTTTCTTTTCTCTTCTTCTCTTAGATAATTATACATTTGCAGATATTATTTTTGGAAATGAACAGGTACATGTTGTCATTTTGTTTATGATATGTTCATTGGTATAAAACAGCTTTTGTTCCTTAATATGATCATTTGTGGGAAAACAATCCCTGCTAAATCTATGTAGCACAAGTAATTTTTTAAAAATCCAACATGTCTTGTATCACTTGTTCACTAAGTTCATGTCTGGAGACTTCTTAAAACTCTTATTAGAACCCCATGGTCTCCCTTCTGCACTGTAGACATATTCTGAATGTGACAATGCTCTGGCCCTATTCATTATGAAAATGAGCCTCCAAAGTCCATATGATTCTCCCCCCTTTCCTCACATATGGGGTGTAGTTTGGAGACTTTCTGGTTTGATATATACCACAGTTTCTTGTGATGTCTGGGTTAGGCAAAATGACAAACTGTGGTGTATTTCTTGCTTAAAAATTGGAATTCTTAATATGGTTTAGTTCGAGTTTAGAATGTAGGTTTGTGGCCAAGAAATTCTGAAGCAGTTTGCCATTTTGGATATCAGTCTGGATATCACAAGTGAAGAAGAAAAAGAGATTGGATTTATACCCCGCCCTTCACTACCCAAAGGAGTCTCAGAGCGGCTTACAATCCCTTTCCCTTCCCCTCCCCACAACAGACACCCTGTGGTGATTTGTATCAAACTAGGAAGACTTCAGTCTGCATGTCATGCACAGTGGAAGGGAGAAGTGGCAGGAAAGTTGTTCATTCCAAACTGAGGTATGTTCATGATGTCTGAATGCAGCCTTTGTATACACATATGAATCTCAGTTTGTGTCTGAACTCCCCCCCCCCCCAAAAAAAAGCCTAAAGTGTCTTAAAGCTCAGTAATTTTTTTTAAAAAGGAAGTCTAATGGTTGAGGAAATGGCAAGTGCACACTGGCATGATTTCCCTCCTTTAAAATTTGTGTACTAAATCCCCAATTTGATTGTTGAAGAGTAGTTTTGGGGTAGCACAATACAAAAGGTGAGAATAGAATCCGTGAAATTCTCTGAACTGCAGTTTGTATTTCAGGTTTGACAAATATTCTACTAGGCTTTCTAAAAATAAAGTATAATGTACTGCTTTTTATAGATTATCAGTTCCACCAGTCCATGTGCAGATTTCTTCTTCCGAAGCTTACCATCTGAATTTAAAAAGACTCAAACACAACATACTATGCATGCTTCACAAGGAAGTGCAAAACAGTCTCTTGACAATGCTGTCAGACTGATACAGAAATGTAGCGAAGTGGATTTGAATATCATTGTACTTTGGAAGGTACGTATGAGGATATTATGTCTGAAGTTTGCAAAAAAATTGAGACAGGTTATATCAACCTTAAATAAGGAGTGTGTACATCTAAGAGTATATAACATGCTTTCACATAAAAGACTGGATTGTATCAATCTGTTTTGCTTGTGGTAGGCTCCAGTGGAAGAGGCATGTTCTGCCAGAAGAAGACTCCACTGTTAACAGAAAGCACTCATAGGATTCAACCGTTTAGGCTGTTTTCAAAGAATAAAAGGGAAAGCATTTTAGTAACTTTATCCTCTGATGTGAAGGTTATTTAAAGGTACTAACATAGGTATAAGCTAGGGGCCAAAAAGAACATATGATGCAGTAGGTATGTGACCAAAAAAGAATTATTTTTCTTCTGAGCACCCATGTATGAGGCCCATCCCATCCCACCTCACTCCCCCAACTCTATAGCCACTTACCTGGGCCCAGGGATGGATGTACTCACTTGGCAGAGCAGCTCTGGGGCAAAGTGCAGCTGAGCAGCCCTGTGGCAGCAGAGAGAACACAGGTGAACCACAGGAATGGAGTATGTGGCTTCCAACTGAGATCCGGGCCCTGCGGGATTTGGTACAATTCCACGGGGCCTATAAAATGGAAAAGTACCACCAAGCATATGGGTGAGGCTGGGAGAACTATTTATGCAGACCTTTGCCCTTCCTCCCCCTTTTCTTCCCCTGGACAGTGTTATGATGTTACTGTGTGCCATCTGATCAGTTGTAAATGTTTAGAACTGTTTTTAATTTGTATGTTTTGTATTATAATCTGTTTATCACATGTTGTGACCTGCTCTGTGCCCCATGATAGTGCAGGAGAGCGGGATATAAATTGACTAAATAAATAAGTTCAGTCTTTGCTAATAATATGCAGATGAAAGCAAGAATTTTATAAATAAATAATAAATGGCTGCCTTTCTCTAGAACAGTTAATCTTTAAAAAATGAAATTCAGTCATCTTAAATATTTTCTTAATAGGACCCAGGGGGTTGAATTTAAGGGATTCCGGCCAAATGAGGCATCATATTCTAACAGAAGAAAATCCTTGGATCCAGCCTGTTGTCTTTGATGACAGTATGGAGTAAAACTATATGGATTTTTTTTTTACATTAGGTCTTTAAAAGGTTATTCTTGCCTGCTGGGTAGTTTCTCAGCATAAAAATTCTCCTTACCTATTACCTTCAAGGAGCTCCAGGGTGTATGAATTTTCCCTTCTTCATACATCTCACAACAGTATGAGTAGGTTAGGCTTTGAGAGTCTGACTGGGACAAGGTCACCCAGTGAGCTTAGTGGTGGAGTGAGGATTGAGTCTGACTCTTCTTGATCCTGGTCTGTCACTCTAACTGCCCCTGGCTCTTAGCAATACCTTATGCTTCACACAGTTTTTATTATATTCTCTTCCAATTTTATCCTGTGCAGGCATATGTTATAGAAGATAACAAGCAACTGATATTGGAAGGCCAGCATCATGTTGTGCTTCATACAGTAGGAAAGGAGGCATTTTCTTTCCCACAAAAGCAGGTATTATGGAATAATTCTATCTTTTTAGTTTTTAATAAACATTGTTTGCTTTTCAAAATGATATTGGTGGCATTTGGTTGTAATATTTATTTCTTAACTTTTGTACATGTAACCCAACAGATAAAATATTCTTGCTATATATGGTTATAACACAGCCAGGTGTTGAAATAATATGGAACTGATCTTCACCCTCTGGGGAGTCCCAGAAGTCAGTCTTTGTGCAACAAGAGAAAAAATAAAGCTGCAAGATTTTGCTCTCGAATAGGGAAAGGCATATGTTTCCTAGGGATGCATTCCAGATTCATTGGGATGGGACTCTATTCTATGTCCCTCCATTTCCACTCCTTATCAAAGTTATAGAAAAAGCCAAGAGAAAAAGATCAAATATGACTTTGGTTCCTTTTTGGCCTCATCAAATCTGATTTCCAACCCTTATGGATATCTCCCAGGGACAGTACTTCCCTTTGCCCAAACAACCAGATTTAATCAGTATTAATCAGGTGTTTCATTACAATCTAAATCATCTCAACCTCATGGTTTGGAGGCTTGGGATAGAAACTTAATATTTTCGCAGGAGGTTAATGACATACTCCTGCATTCACGCAAACCTAAGTCCTATATATATATAAATGGAAGCAGTTTTCTCTCTGGTGCAGTGAGAGGGAGATTTCTCCAGGTAGTGCTTCATTACAAGTAATATTTGAATATCTTGCACCTGAGGAACAAGGGTCTGTCTTTTTCTTCCTTAAAGGTCCACCTGGCTGCCATCTATTGTTACCATAGGGGAGTTGATGGGAAGGCGTCAATTTTCTCCCATCACTTGTCCAAAATACTTCTTAAGGGACTAGGTAATCTTTTCCTGCCTCGGGACCCATTAGTTCCCCAGTGGTCTCTCTGTGTTGTTTTGACACTACGGAGTTTAAACCACTTATCACATGCTCATTGGCTGAATTCTCTATGAAAGTCTGTTTTCTAGCGACTGTGACATCAGCCAGGTTAGTAGCTCTTCAGATGGACCCCCCATTTTTGAAGATCTTTCCTGAGAAGGTAATCCTTCAACCCAGTCTTAGGATTCTCCCTAAGGTAGTTTCCAGGTTCCACTTATCTCAGGATATTATTCTGCCCGTCTTTTTTCCTGCACCAAGCTCTGAAAATGAACGATTTTAGATATTAGAAGGGGTGTAGGGTTAAGTGCCCTTCAGCCTGACAGGAGAGAATGAAGATTCCCAGACACTTCCCACAATCAGAAAAGATACCTTTAGACGTTTTATCTGCTAGTTCGACATATTTGTGGTGGCATAAAAATGTTAAAAATAAATAAAATAATATTTTTTAGCCTTTGTCTGTAGACATAGCTATTTGTATTAGACTGAAATTCTGTCAACAGTACTTGGAATGGAGTATGTGTATTTCCTTGACATCATTCCAAATTCAAATGGCTTGTGACCTCAACAGGCATTTCCTGCAGTTTGGTGTTATCTGGAGGCAGAATGCTTGACCTAGCAGAACTGTGTATGCCAGCAGTCTCACAGCAAGTTGTAGTAAGATAGAAGTAGATAGTAGAACATCATTGTAGATACAATGGAGCAAACCAAATACCCACCTAATCCAGTGTCCTGAGAATGGCCACTGTGCATGTAGGCAGTAGCCTTCCATAGTCCTGTGTCGTGTCCCCCCCATATTCCAAGATGTATGGTTTCAGAACATGGATAAATTTACTTTAAGTTTCATGGTAATAGTTGGTGATAGACCTATTCTCCACACATTTTGCTCTCATTGCTGTAGCACATTCAGTTGGTGTTTTCATTGACCTACTGGCCATGACCCCCAAGATGTTTCTTTGATGGTCACTTACCTTAAAACTTTTATTTTACAGGGTTTTAAAAAAATACTCGGGAATTCTGACTGGGAAGACTTGGAGCAGGTAATGGAATCTAGGGGAAAGGTCCACTTCTGAAGTATTATATCCTGCTTAATTTGAATTAAGTAATTTTTAAAGAAAATTATTAAGACAGTACAGCAACTATGGGAAAAAGTCAGGTTTGGACACTTATGCTTAAGCAGGTAGCTCCTTACTGCTGTAGTAGGGAGGCTAACAAATGACATTATAATGAAATAAAAAGGTAAGCCACACCGGAACAATTGCATTCTTGGCTTCATGGAATGTTTGACTGTATAAACAAGTGTAGATTGTATGGGGGGGGGGAGAAATCTACATTTTCCTCCATAATCAATAGAAACCATTAAGTTTTTAGAAAAACACGTTTAAAATAATACCAACTCAACAGAAAAGCCTGTTCATATTAGTTAGAGACTTAATATTTTTGCAGGAGGTTAATGACGTACTCCTGCATTCAGGCAAACCTAAGTCCTATATGTATAAATGGAAGCAGTTTTCTCTCTGGTGCAGTAAGCATAATCTCCATGTGGAAAAACAAGTATATACTTTAACTAAGGTCAAGGAAGGGGTAAAGGTTCCCTTGCTTGAAAGCCAGTCGAATCCGACTCTAGGGTTGCGATGCTCATCTCCGTTTCAAAGCCAAAGAGCCAGCACTGTCCGAAGACATTTCCATGGTCATATGGCTGGCATGACTAAACACCAAGGCGCACGGAATGCTGTTACCTTCCCACTGAAGTGGTACCTATTTATCTACTTGCAATTTCTTGCTTTCGAACTGCTAGGTTGGCAGGAGCTGGAACTAGAGACGGGAGCTCACTCCGTCATGCGGCACACTTGGGTCTCGAACTGCTGAACTACCAACCTTCCACAGCCTGCAGTTTAGCATCTTAACCACTTGAGCCACCGCAGCTCCTATTAGGTATCCCAAATATTGCATGCTGTGACATGGCTTAAATTAGTGTGGTTGTCAGCATGGATTAATGAGGGAAATTCCTCATCAGAATTGATAATTATGCAAAGAACAATTAGAATGCCACTTAGACTCTTTTTATGGGTCACTCCAACTCTTAGGAAGAGAATATAAGTAGGGAAATTTAATTGTAGATAATCTGATGCAGAGTTGTGATAAATATTGCAAGAAGCTTCCTCCTGGGAAAACTTGCTTCTGCTGCCAGAGATTTGGATATATTTTAAAAAATATATCTTCTCTAGCTAGATAGTTTATGCTTTGATAATCTCTGGATCTTCGACGTGGTCTCTGTGCTTCACACCCATGGGATTCAGTGCGCACGCGCTGGATCGATTGACATTGTAGCAAGCTCTTTAACGGATTTTCGCGCCCAGACCTCGGGCATGTGCAGGAACCCCACTGCGCATGCCCAGAGGGGAGGGCACAGACATCCCGCCAGTTCCTTTCTTACCGCCGCGTTGGAAAGACCTTTTCTCCATTGGTCTGATCGGTTCGCTGTCTTTGGCTATTTGCCTCACGGCTCTTTGGATTATTTCCTCACTTTTCTCCTTTTTTCGTATTATTTCTTTGTTACCTATTAAAATAAAAAAACCCCTTTTATTTTTCCTGAGGGGGGAAGTTGCCGTTTACCTCAGCTTGGCCTTCGGGCTCTTACCCCCCCCCTTCTTCTCTGCTCTTCTTGTTCTATGGAGAAGAAGTGGGGCTTTTTTAACCAGTGTAAAGGCTGCGGTAGTAAACTCACACCGCCTGACCGCCACGCCCTCTGTATTTTTTGTTTGGGTGAGTCTCACCGACCTGAGTCTTGCCAGCACTGTGCTAGGTTTTCAAACCAGACCTGAAAAAACCGAGCTGTGTGCCTCAAAGTGGTGCTACTTGAATCAGTGCTACATCCTTCCTCAGCGATAGACTCCAAGAGACCCTCAACCTCAAAGGCTCCGGTATCGAGGCCTGCCTCCAACATCGCCCAACCGACATTGAAGCCACCGGCATCGAAGGTGCAATCCTCCGCCTCCACGCCACTGAAGAAGAGGCCCAAGGCAAGTAAAGATAAGTCCACAAAAAAGGGCTCCTCTAAGCCCCTAAAGGCGGCAAAGAAGGTGAAGGTGGCGGCGCCTGCACTGGGTGATGCCCCTAAAGTGCCCCCCGCTCCATCGACATCGGAGACACACGCTCCTTCACCGATACAGACCATTCAACTTTTGGACTCCCCTGTACAACAAGTAAAGCGTCCTTACTCCGACATCGAGAATGTGGAGCTCCTAAGTCATCCCATGGGTGCAGAGCCTTCCCTCTCCTCCGTCATTGACATCGACGGTATCAGAAGCTCCTGACATCGATACAGGTCGGAACCCATGGGTGTGAAGTACAGAGATCACGTCGAAGATAAACAGGTTGCTTACCTGTAACTGATGATCTTCGAGTGGTCATCTGTGCATTCACACCACCCGCCCTCATTCCCCGCTGCTGTCAGCTTCTACATTTTCAATAGGGGTTGATTCGCGGCGGTTTGAAGGAAACTGGTGGGATGTCCGTGCCCTCCCCTCTGGGCATGCGCAGTGGGTTCCTGCGCATGCCCGAGGTCTGGGCACAAAAATCCGTTAAAGAGCTTGCTACAATGCTGATCGATCCAGCGCGTGCGCACTGAATCCCATGGGTGTGAATGCACAGATGACCACTCGAAGATCATCAGTTACAGGTAAGCAACCTGTTTTTCTATTATCCTATATGATGAAGTAAAAGAAAGTAATTCAGATTACTTGGTCTGAATATCTTTAAATGAAGAGTTTTCTTACAGATCTAATCTACTAACGATATTTTAAGGGGGAAAAGTGAATTTGAAATAACCACATTTTCTTTATAAATGGAACCAAACTTTAGAATATTTCAGTAGTTTCAAAGAAATGACAAAATATAACTTTGAATGTAATAATAGCTGCACACTTGGTTTTGGCACGGCATTGGAAATTGAAAGATATTCCTGATCTAAATAGTGGTTAGAAAAAGTAAAGGAGGTCAATCTGATGATTAAACTCACATATTTCAAAGCAATTAAGATCTTGAAGAATTGCAGTCCGAGTGGTTAAGGATTATTAATTGTATTCAGATCAAAATTCTTGAGCGACAATGACTAGTTTGATAATTATGTGCATATATTTGAAATTTATGTTTGTAAGTTTATGAGCAATCAATTCGAAAAAGAAAGAAAGCTAAGGTCAACACAGTCAGTTGAACAGATTAATATTGCTAATTTACTGATTTAAATCATCCTGAGTTAAACAAGGTAGTGTGGGATAATATCATATGGAATCAAGGAATTAAATTTGTATTCATCTTCATATTTCTCTCTGAGGTGGCAAACCTGTGTCTTGGCTCTTCTACTACATCCTAGGTGTGGTTCACTTGGTGAAATGCACCTGTAAGTAGAAGACCAGCTTGTCAGAGAGAAGGCTGGCAAATATCTAGTCTATGTGCAGGGCCTTTCTTTTTGTGTGGGGTAGCTTTCATTCATATGAGCTCCCCCACACACACAAACACACACCTGTAGCCCACATTTGAACAGTCTGGAAATGTGGGTTACTCCAGTCAGAAAGAACTAGGGCATAGTTTTAAACAAGTATTTTGTTTCTTTTGCATTTGGCACAAAGAAGTGACCAGTAAATAGACTCCTGTTTTTTATATTTATGTGCAACCACTGGAGCGCTTTCTCCAGTGGTTGTGGGGTAAGGTGGGCAGTCTTTCAAGGTGGGATGGATTGCAGATAACATCATCTTAAAGAACATCAATAAGAAGAGGGGCCTCCTCTTAGCTTCCAAACCAACCCTATCTGGCTTCCAGAGCATGGGGTCTTCTGCTAACAAAGCAACAATTTCTTCTCCTTTATTGCTCCCTTCCATGTATTTATTTATTTATTTACTTCATTCATCATTTGCCTTTCTCGCTGAGACTAGGGTGAATGGAGAAGAATTTTTGGATGATGTGCCAGGTGAAGGGTCAGGGCAAAGTCACCTTTCCCTCTTGAAATTTCCCCAGATTCCTCTAAGGTATAGTCAGTGTTCAACTAGAATGCTGTCTGACAAAATCAAAGAGGGAGATGGAAATGTACTGTGATAACCTTGCTGCTTTTTTAGAGCAGCATCTAGATGCTGAGGGCCACAGCAAATAATTCTCTGTTCTATTACCTATGGTCAGATAGTTGGCCTAAAGAGGCCAAGGATGAGAAATGTCTGTCTGAAGCTTTTCTTGCTGACTATTCAGTGGGTGCCATATAACTTGCCCTCAGTGATTATCAAATTGGCAGACTGCAGAGGGCCTTGATAATGGAAAGTGGATCCATATGCCTCGTTGTATCTCACCAATATGAAATTCATAGGCACCAAGCTATTTAGAGAATCTATGGATGCAATACTGGTCTAGATGAACACCATGAACGAACACTATGTCTGTTTCATGAATTTGAGATCAGAGTGTGCCCCACATGATTGAGAAGCTACAAGCAGATATGGCAACTAACTAAACCAGCTGGAAGAGCACAGACCTCAGGTTCCCAGCACTTTCCTTCCACCTACTTTAGATGAGGGATGCTGGACACATGAATTCAAGATTAGTATTAAATGATTGGAGCCCAGTGCCATAGTGTGGGCACAATTGGAGTACCAGAGCTGACAGGGAGGCATAAGTTATGGATCACTGCCCACAGATATCAGATATTTTGAAGTGGGCAGAACTCTACCTATAGCCAAAGCAGAACATTTAGCAGGAGTGGAGAACAGAATGGTAGATGGTCTGAACAAGAGAAACTAGACTACTAAATGGGATCCTGTTTGAGTTGTACTCAGTAGTCTTCATCCAAATTTGCCAATGCTATAGGATCATAGAAGGTCTAGAAGCTGTAGTCAATTTGCCAATGCTATAGGATCATAGAAGGTCTAGAACCTTTGCCCCTCCATCAAGTTGCTAGTTGGCCAGGCTGTTATCTTTAACCCCTGTTGAGACACTCTCTCAACAGTAGCTAGCTACAAGTGTTTATTTATTTAGTTATTTAGTTCAATTTGTATCCCATCCTCCCCGCCAAGGCAGTACTCCTGTATGTATTTGTTTCCATCATCCTAATTCTCAAAGTCTTGCAAAAATTGTTAGATAGGTGGCAGAAATACTACTACTGGTGCTTTGCTGGCCAAAAAGACTACAGCTTCTAGACCTTCTGAAGTGGCCATGTTCAGGAACCTTAGCTTCTGTATCTGACAGATTTTCTATCTGAAGCCCTGATACCATGCCTTCAGCCAAAGCTCTTCTAGGTCACAGCATGGAGGTAGATTAGCAGCTGGTGTGCTTGGATAGTGTTATAGTCACTCTCCTAGCCTTCATCAACAAAACAGGATCTATCATGTCACCTGGCAAGCTTTTTCCAAGTGGCGCATGAATTGCCAAATGGCAGTTGTCAGCATACTAGATCACCAAGAAGGAAAACTTTCTTCTTACCATCCCCATGTACATAGGTTTTGGAGTAGGTTATTGTTGCTTAAGCTACCTACAGCACAGAGATTCCCACACAGAACTTAAACGCAGTTCTGACTGCACTCACCAAATATCTCTTTAGAGCTATGGAACTCTGTTAGAACAGCTTCATAGGAACCAGCTCTGAATGCAGAGTATCAGAACTCAATGTACTGTCAATAAATAAAGAGCTCTATATTGTCTGTAATGACAGTTGTGGCCAAGTCACAACCCACATGGCTGTAATGGACCTGCCCAGGATGAGCTCAGTAGTTTGGTAGTCAGTCAACTGCCTGGGAATGACCCAAACTCACTTGTTTTTTTCTGTTCCATAAGGCTTGAGAAGCACAGTATCAGAAAACAATTCAGTGGGCATCTTGTTGGAATCATTGCCCTATATCAACAAGATAAAAGACCTTAATGTCAAAATCCCTATTCATCTCCTTCAAAAAATCCACTTTAGGACCAGAGTCTTGTAATCTATAGTCTCTAAGTAGATTCCATCTGTATAAACACAACTTAATCAGTTTAAGTCCAGTGGAATGTCTTTTGCTTCTGTACTATTCCATTTCTTTTTCAAATAAAAATGTATCTAGCTTTCAAGCAGTTATTATTTATATATACAATACTGAAGAAGAAGCACTGCCATGCTTGTTCTGGGAGCTAAGGGGAAGCCCCTCCCCTGTTGCTGCTCTGTGGTGTGACACAGTCTGCAACCAATAGGAGGTACCTTCCTGTCTCAAAAGAACGATTGAATATGAAATCATGGAAAATTCTGATTTTTCTTTCTCGTCTGAATGATTTCTTCTCAGTTTTTAAAAAACTGCTTGAATACTTTTATGTTTCAGGAGTCTCCAGATATGGTTCTCTTCAACTTTTTCCGGCCAGAATCCACATCAGTACCGGCAAAGCCATCTCTAGATCACCTGTCTAACCTTATTAAGACTAGTCTTCATTATCCAGAAACATATAATCACCCATTTCATCAGAAAAGGTTTGAATGTCTTTTGTTTTTAATTTTATATATTTATAAAATTCCTATACCTCCTCTCCAGAGAACCTGCTTGAGTCAGATTACAAAGCAGAACACAATTAAAACATAAAACACCATAAAATTAATAATTGTTATCAAAAACCCACCATTAAACATGCATCAAGAGCATAAAAATAGCATAATAGCAGTTTAAAACAAGTTTCACAGAACAGTTTTCTGACTAGAAAATGACAATAAAAATTATGTTAAGGGATCAGCCCCTTAATTAAAAGCCTAGGTAAAAAGAGAAGCCCCCCCTTCAATGAGCAGAAGCACCTTCTGCTTTTGCAGCAGAAACTTTAGGTCCAGTTCTTTGGGGTGTTTTTGCTTTTCTTTTATGTGCTGCACATGATACAATAAAGAAAATAAAGTCACTGTTCCAAGGAGCTTACAGTCTAAACTTTGATCATGGGGCAAATCAGAGAGAAGGAAGAGAGGCAGAACTAACAAAAGGGTGAACAGGAGGGAGAAGGGCAATGAGGGATGTTTGTGAATAAATGCAGTTATAAGTTTAGCATTATTTTGGATGAGAATTATGCCTTAGGCATCACCTGATGTTTTTAAGCAGAGAGAGAAAATCTCTTCCAGAAGGGACTGGAAGAAGCAGAATTTACCTACATAGCATAATACCCAGTCCTAAACTGGCTGCTCTTTTAAAAGGAAGATAAAATGCTTAGCAGAAAAAAATGCATAAGGAGTTTGTTTCCCATGATATTGATTCAGTGCCTGTAAATCGGGATTTTCAAGTAAGTCTCTTAAAAGTGCACAGGAAAATATCCAAAGGCACTATTACAGAAATCCTTATGGTCCACTTGAGAGCAATGCTCTGTTCTCACAACAAAAAGCAGAAAAGAAAAAAGTGTCTCTTATGCAAGCAATAGATAAAAAACCCCTTGACAAAGCACATAGCTACAAAACCCATCCCATTAATTTCTTTAATACATTTTGATTTGTGGCATCTCTGGATATTATATTCTTTCTGCTTTCTTTGTGGATTCGTGCAGTGTTGTTGTTTTTAGAGATGAGCTCAAACCTAAAAACAGTGGTTCAGTTTGGAGTGGCCCCCAAACCAAGCCTAACGGGCCCCATCCAAAGTGAATCAGCCCAGCAAGTTCAATTCCCTCTTTTCTCCTGACTGCGGCTTGCCACGTGGCTCGCTGGGAGAAAGGGGCAAGGATTGCCTGGGAAGGGCCTTCATTTAACCCTTGCTTTTTGCTCCCACCCTCAAAGGGGGGAGCAAGATTTAAATGACTGACAGTCAGGGCTCTTTTTGTAGAAAAAGCCCAGCAGGAACTCATTAGCATATTAGGCCACACCTAATAGGTCAAAAAATCTTGCTTGAACCAATATCTTATGTCCAACAATTATTCCCACACTGGATTGGAATCAATTCCTAAAGATTCCTATGGAAATCAACTTGCCTTCCTGCAGAACTAGTATGCTGAATATGAATTTTTAAGGTTGCCAACCTACAGGTGGGGTCTGGAGATCTGGAATTACAACTGAGCTCCAAACTACAAAGATCAGGTCAATGGCTGCTTTGGAAAGTAGAGTCCATGGCATTATGCCTTGCTTAGGTCCCTCCTTCCCCCAAACCCCACCCTCCTCAGGCTCCACTCCCAAATCTCCAAGGATTTCCCCAACCTGGATTTGGCAACCCTAGTTCACTGGCAGAACAACCCTTGGTTTGTGGATGCACTGGACGGGAGTAGTTTGTGGACTGTGCACCAAAGGAACCAGTCCAACAAAATTTTATTCAAGGTATAAGATTTCATGTGCCACCCACACTTCTTCAGATGGAAGAAGTGTAACACACGCAACAATGAAGCTACTTTTTCAGATGTTTTCTCTTGCATGGCAGTTAGCACCAAATGACTTTAATACAGACTTTAGACACACATATATTTGCAAGCCATTCCCAACAAGACATGCCGCCTAGGCTCGGGTCATGAGGTCCAGTCACGCATTTCCCTTCCCTTCGCCAGTCTCCACCCAAAGCCATCAACCGTGCAATCCTAAATAGAGTTACACCCTTCTGCATCAGTGAGGATGTGACTGTGTTTAGGACTACAGTGTAAAATTGCAAGAATAAAACTTTCTAGTTCAGTGTAATTTTGATTCTCAGGACCAAAGTCTTCCTATACATTATTTCAGAAACCTTCCCTCTAAGCTGTGGAATCTTGTGGGCAAAAATTCTAGTTTGTGAGCTACTGGCATTAAAATTGTGAGCGAGCGATTTGCCTACTGCATAGATTAGTTTGCCCTGGAGCCATCTTTCCTGAGCTAAGACAAAAATATGTGAGCCGGAGGCTAAAAAACTGTGAGCTAGCTAACACTAACTCAGCTTAGAGGGAACACTGGACACGTTGTGTGATGTATATTCCTGTGCTTTGGGGACACAAGGCACCTCACCACTTACCCTTTTTGCCATATTAAAGTGACACTGATGTAGGGTAGTCGTACCTTGACAGGTACTACTGGTTGGAGGGCTCCTGCACAGCTGGCTTGCAGCTCGTGGAAGAGTCTCTGGTCCCAGGTTCAATCCCTGACAGCATCTCCAGTTCAAAGGACCAGTCAGTGGGTGTTGTGGAAGACCCCCGCCCGTGACCTTGGAGAGCTACTGCTGGTCTGAGCCGACAATACTGGCCTTGATGGTGTGATTTAATATCAGCCAGCTTTGTGTGTGCGTGCGTTTTCAGTGACACACACACCCCTCCGGAATTTTCTGTAAGAATTTTTTTAAGTCCTTGGAAATCCCTCCCCCCATTTTCCCCAGAGCCCCAGATCTCCTCCTGGGCGACTCCTGGACAGCAAGGAAGGGCCAAGAGCTGACTGCCTGTCCGAACAGCCGGACGAGTGAGGCAAGGGTGGGGCTACAAACCTCCAGGCGCTGCTCACCAGGTGACAGAGATCACTCCCCCCCCCCGCTGGGACAAAATGGCTTGTTTTCCATGGTGGTGCTGCATCCCAGCGAGGTTCCTCCCATCCCTGGAGCCTGCCCTCCCCAGACTCTACCCCCCAGTCTCCAGGATTTCCCCAGCCTGGAGCTGTCAATCCTAAGCAAGGGCACTCCACTTCGGCCAAGGGGGTGCTTCGGGTCCATGAGAGGAGGAATGCTGCTGCGCCCTCCAGCCTCCAGCTCACAAGTACTGGGGCCAGCAGGCTGTGAGGGAGCCCAGGTGTGGAGTTGTTGCTGTGGTGAGTGGGCCAGCGCTGGAGCACCATCGCAGGGGGCACTGCTCTCTCTGCAGGCGGACCAGCACTCTTGAGCGTTGGTTGGGAAACCAGCAGGGCGGAGGAAGGAAAGAGACACACATGTAAGGTCGGGAGGAGGAGGAGGAGAAGTGGCAGCTAGAAATGGACCCACTGCCAAGAGCCGACCCTGGACCCAGAGGACCCCCCCCCCTGACGTGAAACTCACCCAAACGTGGTCTGAGGCCAATGGAGGAGGCGGCAGGATGACGCAAGGGCGGTGGGGAACCCCGGCGGTTGCCCTGGAGGACGGCGGAGATGCGGCAGCCGGCTTGACAGGGCTGGGAGAGCACACGGGGAGAATCAGGCCCCACCTGCAAAGGATGCTCCAGGGTGGGCTCAGACCGGCCGAAGATCAGCAACTGCCCACGGAGACAAAACCTGGGCTGGCAGAGCGACAAGGAAGAGCCAGCAGGGAAGCGAGGGCAGGGGCGCCTGGGCAGGGGCAAGGGAGGGGCGAGGCAGGCTCAGATGCCAGAAGCCAAGATTGGGTGGCTCCTTTAGAATCCTTTACAAACCCAAATATATATCAGAAGGAAACTCTGGGAAGGTATCAGGACTTGTTAGATAACAAACAAGAACTTTAAAAGGTTGAAAACTATAATTGGTTTTTCCTCCCTCCCGTACTCACCACTGGCCTGCTTCAGCCAGGTTACTTTTGAAACCTCTTGAGAGCTTATTCAGCGTTTTTTTTAGTTACAATGTCTGCTGTTGTACAGATATTGCTTCTCTGTTGTTTGGATTTTTAAACACTCGTTTAAATTAATAAGTACATAAATAACACACACACCCATTTCATACATAGCCCCAGTGTGAGGATTTTGGATACACATTATGGAGTTTTGATCAGAAGTAGATTTAGTATTTTGGAAAATGTATATGATGCTTCTCCAGACAGCTGCCCAATGTAGCGCGCGCGCTCTCTCTCTCTCTCTCTCTCTCTCTCTCTCTCTCTCTCTCTCTCTCTCTCTCTCTCTCTAATATATAATGTTATTGAAATATTGTGTAATATAGTGAAGCAAAACTCTTTTTTTGGTGTACTGTTTTAAAGTTTTGTTATTTATTTGTAAGCTCTTTGAGTCTCAAGTTTGAAGACTGGCAGTGTGGCCATGGATCTTAATTAGAATTTGCATGCGGACATGGAGGACAAGCTACATTATGCTACATGATAACTGCAGCTTGAATCTCTATGCGAGCCATTTTCAGGATGATGAAGCTCTTACAATGAGCACAAAATTTATTTATTTATTTATTTTATTCAATTTATACCCCGCCCTCCCCACTATGCGGGCTCAGTATATATAAAGTATATAACCAATCATGGGTTTTTATAAGTTGTAAGGAAGAAATGCAGAATTGTAACATGTTAAAATGAAAACTGGCATTTGTTTACTAAGCGCTGGAACAAAGTATGTATTGGATATAAATCATATGCATTCACACACATTTCATATTTACTCTTCTATTGAGCCAGTTTAAGTATTCCAGAGTTACTAACCACATTTTTCTTTTGCAGCCTTTGTGTAGTCCCAGTCATTCTTCTACTTTCAAATTGTTCTCAGGCTGATGTCGATGTGATCATAGATCTGCGACATAAAACAACAAGGTAACAAAGATTTAGTGTAATAAAGGACTCTCAAAAACTTATACCCTGAAATTCTTATTGGTCTCTAAGGTGTTACTGGACTCGAACCTAACGTTTCTTGCAACACAATCTCTCCCTGTGTATTAACTAGTGTCCAGAAATTTGCTGGTCAGCTTGCCACTGCAACTTGCTTGTTTTAGTGTGGCAAGTAGTGAGAGTTCCTCTTCCTTCTTCTGAGCTCATGGAAATGGGGGGCCAGGGCTCTCCTCTTAAATACTGATTTTGGAGCAGTTTATACTCAGTGCCTTGGGAGCCACATGTGGCTCTTTGACATGTTCCCTATGGCTCTTCTGAGTACCATCCCCAATGCAGCACCTGCCACAGGTTTCAGGAAACTGTGCAAAGCTGTTGCCCAGTGGACGTTGTGGTTGGCAGGTGGTTCCCACAGCACAAAGAGGTTCTTCTGACCACCCCATCTTTTGCAATCATCTTTTGACATCAGGAATAATTTATCTTTTGACAGCCAATCTACAACAGAGTTCTGGAGAACGTGAAAGCTTGCACACCGCTTTGTGCCATAAGTCTTACTTGCAAGCCCTTTCTCCCACTCCAGATACACAGTGGCTGGCTTAGGTACAGCAGGGATAGGGAAAGATAAACCTGCATGCTTAGAGGTACTCTGCTAATTTAAAAGGTTGTAGTTAATAGGTTTAATATTAATAGGGGGTGTGTGTTAAGTATGGTTGAGGGAATTTCTTGGGGGCACAGTCACTTTGAGACAATCATGGGTTTGTACTAATGTTCTCAAGCATAAGCAGGAGAAATTTGACTTTTCCCCCCTCTCTTTTTCAGTCCAGAAACACTTGAAATTCATGGCTCATTTACCTGGCTTGGGCAAACCCAATACAAACTTCAGTTGAAAAGCCTGGAGGTATCTAGTCTGCAGTTAAAAGCATGCTTTGTTCATACAGGAGTTTATAACCTTGGAACCCTGCGAGTATTTGCCAAGCTTTCGGACCAAGTTACTTTGTTTGAAACAAGTCAACAGAACTCAATGCCAGCACTGATTATCATTAACAGCATTTGAGTTGCTGCAGGATTATCTCAGAAACCAAAAAAAACAAAAGAACCCTGTTTATTTACTGTATTTTTTTTAACTTTGCAACCGTGACATCTGACTTGTGTAAAAGATGTAGATAAAATACTAACGTTCTAAGACTGCTTGTCTACTTCTGTTTCATAATGCCAGGCACGTTGGATTTAAAGTTGATATCCTTTTTCAAGTATTTCGTATGTTAAACAGAAGTACTCCTAGCAACTTTGGCTCTTCATAACAGAACTGGGAAATCCTTGTATACCACCGACTCTTGTCAAAATACAGCTTTACTGCTGTGGAAACATTACAGCATATGTTAATATTTGTGGCTGTATTAGTCAACTTAGGACAAAGACTTTTGTTGGCATTTTTGCTCTAAAGCCATCTTGGTAATTCCATTGTTTCTGTGAAGTCCACTAGGATATAAAATATGAAGCCTATCCAGTTTATTTTTACTTTAAAAAATTAAGTTGGGGTTTTTTCATGTTCCGATAGCTGGTTCTTCTTATAACTTGCACATAACTCCAACTCAATATTTTCAAATAATTTTGAACCCAGTGAATATCTTCATCTCAATACAAAATGCACTATTTCACAACCATGAAATGTTTGTCATTTAAACTTATTCACTTTATTATGTAACTATAACAATTCAGTTGATCTGTTTAAAAAAGTACTCATTAATTAAGCTTTTCAAAAATGTATTATATTTATAACGTGCTGTAAATAGAATAAAATGTGCACCATATTTATTGTACTGGTTTCTTTCATGATGTTTTAAAAGTGGCAAGGAATTAGGTGCCTGTTAATAGTGGGTTGTGTTGGTGCTGATGTAAGTATCACTGCTTTCATTGAATAACCTCGTTTTCGAGGTCATAGTAAGAATGAATGAGAACATAAAGTGCTTTGCACTATGTTTCATTTATAATCCACCATCTCACTGAGACTCAAAATGGATTACACAATTAAAAACAGAAAAGAGCAAGAGTCCAGTAGCATCTTAGTAGCAAAATCTGTGGTACGGTATGAGCTAAAATGTGAGACTATGTCCTAATTATTGGAATGGGGGGTGATTTCAGATGCCAAATAACATTAGCAGTTGAATGACAATAGCAGGCATGATTGGATTAGATGTGATAGTAGGTGTGAAAAAAATCAGCATTGGTAATGAGACAGGAAACGTAGGTCTCAATTAGGTCCAGCTGGATACATTGTCGAGCTTTATTATCAGTTGCAATTCAGCAGTCTCTCTCTCTTTGAAATTCCTTTGTAATGCAGTCTAGTACGACTAGAGTCTGGGAATCTTAGAATTGAAGCTAGGGTACGTATTCTGTCCATCTATATGTGGCTAAAAGGTCATTTCAATCCACAAGGCTTACTTCCCCTGATATTCCAGGATGATTTCCAATCCAGTTGGATCAAGGCAGTTCACTATCATATTCATAGAATTAGCTTCTCACCTCAACTACTTTTATCCTATGGATTTGAACAAGCCAAAGAGAAAATTAAACAAAGAGTTGATGATATTGAGCAACAATCTGACATCTCTAAGGCTTCCAAACTCGGGGTGTTGTTAAATATCAAAAGCACCATAGAGCCGGCAATATATTTGACTTCAGTGGAGGGAAAGAATTCTAGAAGGGCATTTGCCCTAGCTAGATGTTCTGCCCTTCCATTTGTGGTTATTCAAGGCAGATACAATAAAAACCCCTACTCTGAAAGGCTATGCCCATGCCTTTTAAGCGAGGTTGAATCAGTAGAGCATATGTTCTTCAGCTGTCCATTTTACAGGGAGGCTCATCAAAATTATTATCCCATTAGTTGATAGGACAACTGGGCACATTAACGCAAACAAAGCAAGGCTTCACTGGCTCCTATCAGATAAGAATGCAGAGATTACACATTCAGTCGCTGAGTTTTGTGCATTCTTAGATTGCGGGAATCGCATTTTAAAAGTTCTTAAATTCAGATTTCTATTTTTGTATATTATGACTGTTTTTCTCTCCCTCACATATTATGCTTACTCTGTATGTTGGTCTTAAGACCGTAACCAACTAACTAGTACAATTAAAGGACAGTCTAGTAAAATTAAAACACTAGAAACGAGTGTGTGCAATGATGTTGCAAAGTTAAGAACAACACACTCCAATAGAGAATTAACAGTGCCTAAAATTTCAGACATTGCTGACTCTTCAGGCAGGCCATTCCCCGAGGTAGGTGCTCTGACAGAGGAACTTCTGGTATGAGCAGCTGTTGATGCTCCCTGTTTGCAGGGCGGCATTTTTAAAAGGCTTTGCTTATATGAGCAAAGGTGCTACAGTGAAGCATATTGGGAGACAGTCCTGTGAATATATGTAGGATCTACACCACAAAGGGCTTTGTAGGTAACAGCTAGTACCTTAAATTGAACCCATAACCAATGTAGTCAATGCAGAATAGGTGTAATATGCCTTTTTTTGCTTTCATTTTTCATGTGTGTGTGTGAGAGAGAGTCTGTGTGCACCTTAGGGTTTCCAAGTGCTTTTTTAGCCGCAGCGGGGGACTCCCGGCTGGAGTAAAAAGTGACGTGACAACGCCGGGCACGCAGGGGGCAGGGCCACAACCATCCGAGGGAAAACCATAGAGTTTTCCCTCGGATGACCGTGGCCCTGCCCCCGGCGTGGTCGCATCACTTCCGGGTGACGCGCCCGTCGGGGTGGGGTTCCCCCCGGGGCCCGATCTGCCGCCGGCGGGGAACAGGCCTCTGGGGCGGGGTTTTCCGCGCCCCCCGGGGGGACTTGGCAAGGTTAACTTCCGAGATCTGGTGAGATCGGCCTTTCCTGGGCTATCCAGTTCAGGGTATATGCCCTTTTTAAAGAATCACTGCAAGACAGATTCCCCCAAAGAAGTCTGTGGATGAAATCCATTGTGAATTTTAGGAATTTTAACTAATAAAATATATTTTTACTTTATTTTGCACCATCACCCTTGGCCTTGTTTTTTAATCTCTTAGGGACTAGTGCAGCCCATTTATGTCCTTTGTATTACCTTAAATTGATCAGATAAGGTTGGAAGTCATCCTCTGGGCTTAAATTAAGATGTCACTGAGTTAACTTATTTCTCAACAATAATGCTGGCTCTGGTATAACTCTGCAAGGTCAGCTGAACCATATCCGATGTGGGAGGCCTTCCCTACCAGTATCACCTTTGTGTTGTCAGTATTCAGTTTCGACTTGTTCATTCTTGATTGTTTAACTACAGTGGTCAAGCACTGCCTTAGGAATTCTACAACACTGCCATGCAGTCTGGACAAAAAGAAAGAGAGGTGTGTGTCATCAGCATATTAAGACAGCCAACTCCAAAGCCACAAATGATCCCTCCCAAGGGCTGTACATAAAGAATAAACAGTATGTAGCATTGGGATCCCACAGCATGGCCTGCGCTGATGACAAGTGGTCATCAACAGCAAGCCTCTGAGTCGGATCCCTAAGGAATTACTTAAATCTGGCTTTGGGAATGATTTAAACCTGTCCAAAGACCAATCCTTGATAACTACTGCTGTCTGCAGAAATCTCAGCAAGATGGCATGGTCCACCATATCAGAAGTGGGTGATAAATTCAGTAACAACAACCAAAAGGCACAGCCCTTCTCTACATTCAGCCAAATTGTCAGCTAAGGCTACCAGTGCTGTTTCTGTCCTGTAGTCTGAAAGAGGTCTAGGATTCTGGAGAACTTGAAAGCTAGCTTTGTGCCATAAATCTAACTTGTGAGCCTTTCTCCCACTCCAGATACCCAGTGACTGGCTTAGGTTCAACAGGGGTAGAGAAAGATAAAACTGCAGGCTTACAGGTCTTCAGGTAATTAAAAAGGTTAATGTGTTTAATATTAATAGTCATATGAGTGTTTGTGTGCAAGTCTGAGGTGGTGCAGAGGGCATACAGTAATTATTTTTGTACTCCTCAGGTGCTACCCTAAATACCCCTATTTGATTCAAAGGTTAAAGATCAGGTTGCTAGTTTTTAAATAAATGTTAAATGACAAATTCAACTCTCACTGAAATAGTTATAAAACAAAAACTGGAGTCTGGTGCTGTCCAATATACAATCTGCTATTTTACTTGATGTATATTGGTTAGAATGTTGGACCTAAGCCTGGGATGGCCTACCTGCTTGCTGTGAAATTCACTGGGTGACCTTGGGCCATTCATTCTCTCTCAGCCTAACCTACCTCACAGGGGTTTTGTGACAATACAGATGGGAAGAGAATCATGTAGTACTTAGAAGACTTCAGCTACTACTTTCTCAATTACCTTGCTTAGAAGTGGCATACTACTGAATGATAGTTAGCCATATCATTCTTCTCTCGTGAATGTTTTTAAAGTAATGAATGGATCTAAAGTATTATTTAAGTGCTACATCTATGTATCTAATTCCCAACAGTCCCTTCTACATGTGGATACTTATTTCTGCAGACAGGGGGCTCACTCACCCCAACAGGTTTTCTACAGACTCAGGGATCTCTGTGGGGCTATAAAAATCCAATTTTTTTTTTTAACTTGGGGAGGGTTGAATTCCCCCCTCACAATAACTTTTGAAATGGCCACCACAGGGATCTACTTCATGCCCCGCCACATCAATAGTGAGCGAGACTAAAATGTTCGGGGGGGGGGGCAGAAGGCTTCTAACTGGTTCTGTCAGTAAAAGGCAGGGGAAGGGCCCTTTCCAGGCCTATTTTGGCCTTTCAGGGAAGGATCCTTAGGGTCAGGCCTGACAAGGGTTGCCAGTGCCAGGCTGGGAAATTCCTAGAGATTTTGTGGTGGACTCTAAGGAGGGCTGGGTTTGGGGAAGGGAGAGGCCTCAGATGGGTATAATACAACAGAGTCCACCCTCCAAAGCAGCCATTTTCCCCAGGGAGACTGCTGTCTAGAAGAAGAAGAAGAAGAGAAGAGATTGGATTTATACCCCGCCCTTCACTTGGAGTCTCAGAGCAGCTTACAAACTCCTTTCCCCTCCCCTCCCCACACAGACACCCTGTGAGGTAGGTGGGGCTGAGAGAACTCTGACACAAACTGCTCTTTTTCAAGGACAGCTGTGCCAGGGCTTGTGACTGACCCAAGGTCACATCAGCAGGTGCAAGTGGAGGAGTGGGGAATCAAACCCGGTTCTCCCAGATTAGAGTCCGCACACTTAACCACTGCACCAGTCGTAATTCTGGGGGGACTCCAGGTCTCATTTGAAGGTTGGCAACCCTAGGCCTGACAGTACTAGGGTTGCCAGGTCCTCCCTGGCCACCAGCAGGGGATGTGTGGTGATAACGTTACCAGATCCAGGTTGGGAAACTCCTGGAGATTTGGGGGTGGACCCTGGGGAGGACAGGGACCTCAGTGAGGTACAATGCCATAGAGTCCCCCCACCTTCCATTTTCTCCATGAGAAGTTATCTCTGTAGTCTGGAGTTGAGCAGTAATTCCAGGGGATCCACAAGTCCCACCTGGAGGCTGGCATCCCTAGGCAGCACCTTCTGTGTGACTTGATACCACCTGACTTGCATGACTCAACTAGGCCTGGCT